TTTCACTTTCGTCAGAGGTATAATCTCCTGTGTCCTTTTTCTTCCATCTTTCATCACCTCTTCTTTTCGCTCTGGCCAGCTTCCGTCTGACCACAGGGTCATATCCACCCATGATCTCCTTTGAATCACTTTGATCATCATCATCTTCAAATTCCATCTTCCTAATCCTCAGTCTACCCTTGGTTTCCAGGCGTGTCATTTTCTTCGTACTTTTGGAGCTTGGATTCATCTTTATAGTTGTTTCCGCTTGTCCTATTTCTATTATTCGGTCATCTTCATCTCTGATGCAGTAATCGCCCTCCTGACTCTATCTGACTGATCACTGGAAGCTAAATGGTAAATGGTCCTGTACTTGTATAGCGCCTTTCTAGTCTTCCGACCACTCAAAGCGCTTTTACACTACGTGCCACATTCACCCTTTCACACACATTCACTCAGTGATGGCAAAGTCCATCGAACAGAAACTAACATTCATACACATTCACACACCGATGCACGGCATCGGGAGCAATTTGGGGTTCAGTATCTTGCTCAAGGACACTTCGACATGTGGCACCAGGGGGATCGAACCCACAACCTTCCGATTTAGGAAAACGACCCGCTCTGCCTCTGAGCCACAGCCGCCCATGAGGATGGCTGAGGCTCAGAGCTGAGGATAAATGTCCTTAAACTTCACCTCCTCCTCACAAGGTGGGGGTTTCTTTGCTGGATCCGTATGTGAGAAAGGTGTATTGATTTCCGCCATTAGTTTTTCTGTTACTTTCACATCTTTTGTTTTCTGTCCCTCATACGTGGACACAAGCACTTATTTATTAAGCATTATTTTAATTACATCTGGGTTGACAGTCCCTTCCACTGGCCATGGTTGTTCAATGTCAGGCCAACGCTTATGTCATTTTCCCGATAACTTTGCGATACCATTAACTAGAGGATTATTCTTTTGTACTATATCAGCAGGAGTAATTACTTTCAGAATTTTAATGTCCTTTTTCGACATTGTATCGACTTTTTATATTCTCTTATTGTAAATTATTGTTATTAGATTAAAACTAATTATTAAACTAAGAATACTTAAATATATTTAGCTTATCTTTCCCTCTCTTTTTAAATTTTCTTTTTAAATTCTAATTTATTTATTTATTTGTATTTATTAATTAAATTAAATTAATTAAATTCTACCAAATTGTTGATAGGCCGCAATTTTACCACATCCAATAAAGAAAAGTGAAAGAAATTCGTCAACTTCAGAGTAATCAAAAGACTTGTTAATTAGCAAAACTACAACACCAAAACCCACATATCATATTAACCAAATAGTCAAAAAGGTGAACAAATATCCTACATATTAGAGAAAATTCAAGCCTGCATAAAACTCAAAAGATCACACACTGCCACAAGGGAACAACTATCACCCAGTGTGGTCCTATTCGCAGCAAACAATCGCCTAATTATCACCCAATCACCTTAATTTACAGAATAATCTCAATACTGAATCTCCAACGCAACTCTAATCAAAACAACCATGCACAAACAAAAACTCCAATGTGCAACTCTCAACACTATTTAAACCAAGTAATAATACTTCATTAATTAATCAAATACATTATTGATCAGTCCGTTGCCAAGTCCCTTGTTAAATGACCACAATATGAAATATTTTAGACATACACAAGCAGATGGATGCCCTCTATTAACCCCAAATTAAGAAATGTGTTTATAATATAATATGTCTTTGTAATCCTAAATTCCTAAAATTCCACACATGCGCAGTTCATTTGCCAATGAGATTTTGAAATGGACAGAGCTGCGGTTAGCAACACCCTAGCTGAGCGGTTACAGCACCCCCCTTTCACTCCTCATTAATCTCTCCACTTCTCTACAAAATCATAACGTCCTTCTAGAGGCTCATGAGTTTTAACAAGTATGAAAACGTTCTCTCAACGGAGACTCATAGATTTAACAAATTGAAAAGTTCTCTCGAAAGAGACTCATAGATTTAACAAACTCAACAAAATGTCCTCCTCAAGCTCATGAGTCTTTAACAGATTAAAAAAGTTCTCTCAAAAGAGACTCATGAATCTCAACAAACTCAAAAACGTCCTTCCGAAAAAGGCTCATAAATTTTTTTTTTTAATTTAACAAAAACGTCCTCTCAAAAGAAGCTCATACTTTTTTAACAGTAATGAACAGAATATCTTTCCTTAAAAATAACTAAATCTCCTGTTCTCAACCAAAACATATATACGTATATCTAATATAAAATCTTATCATGACATGAGTCACGTATGTCAACCTCTGCACAGCCTATCACACACAGCTGGAATACAGCAGACACAGCGCTCTCCACACACACACACACACACACACACACACAAGCTCTGTCTCTCATACACACATGATAACTAGTTATCCAGCAGCAAAAATGCATAGTAAAGTCACAAAACACACAGCAAATTCAACACCATCCCAGAAACACAAACAGCATTCAACTCTTAATCCTCTAAGTCAATTCATTCATACTATTCCTAAAGCATTCTTCTGCCGCTCCTTTATCCTTATTCTTTTATCTTTTTTCCTTTCTAAATTTTTGCTACCTTGAGGTGTAGATATTCAATGAGAGACTGCTTCAGACACCGTTCGTCAACAAATGTATTGAGTGGGAACTTACAATTGAATTTTTATTCTACACCTCCAGTTCCTTGAACTGATCTGAAATTCACCTAGTGACTTTCAAGGATTTTTGGCCCATCTAAAATCGCCTCCTTGAGGGCTTTTGTCCAAATCAGCGGCGTCCTAATCCTTTTTTCCTCTTATTTCCTTATTTTATTCAAGCCAAATTTCCCTGGGCCCAGGGTTGTCACTCTCTTTTTCCTTTAATCCAATTCGACTATTCCTTAAAGCCTACTTTCACGCAGTGTCTAATTTACACGTCTTACCGTTAAGGAGTTGAGGGCCCAGTCTCCATTAATCTTGCATAGTTCTTTAGCTCACCTTCTCGTTACTAATTAGGCTATTCTACATCTATTCCTTATCCTTTACCTTAATTTCCTATTTTTCTTTTCCTCTATCTTTCCTTATTACACTCACACTCCCCCCTGTTGCGTTGTCTGCAACGCAACACAATTTAGAACGAAACATCACTCCAAACATCAACACAGCATGGCACACACACACACACCAGGTCCTTCACGGTGTGACCAGACAGCACACACACACACAGCCTCAACGAACGAACCAGCGCCCAATTCGTGAGAAAATGCTCACCCTATTTGCCGGCTTTTGATGCGGGTGTCAGTATGTTGAAGCCGTCAGTGAGGCAGCAGGTCACAGCACGTCCGGAGTTCGTGACACCAAATTCTTATTGTATATTAAGTAGCGATGATGTGAAGATGTGTTGAAGAGTCCACTGACAACGTCTTGATTGTATATAAAGGTTTATTACAAAAAGTTCAGCATCAATATGGAGAGCATCCAGCCAAATTAACAATTCTGTCTATATGCGTCGAACATAGGCTTTATATAGGTCTATTGTTTATTCATGAAAATAGTAAAGAAACATCTGGTTTGGCTATCAGATGTACTGAAATATTTATGTCAGAAGGTAAAGGTCCAAGGGGCTTCGAGGAGGCCCCTAAACTAAACATTTCATAGTAAGAATTACGACGTTGAACCTTATGTCCTTCTAACACTGCATATGTTGACAAAAATATCAATTGAACTTATAACAAAATGTAACTTAAATTTATAGGCCTTCAGACACCACAATGGTCAGGCTTCATCTGTCCGTTTTGAGGCGGGGATACAAATTCTGGCAGACAGGTAAACAGTCTGAAATAATATGTTTCCTCCCATATCTTTGGCTAGAAGAGAAGAAACTTGTTCATAATCCCAGAGGTTGTAGAGTAGTATCTGAAGTACACATAAAATAAATAATTTGATGGTCAGGCTTCATCTGTCCATTTTGAGGGGGGGGATACAAATTCTGGCAGACAGGTAAACAGTCTGAAATAATATGTTTCCCCCCCAATATCTTTGGCTAGAAGAGAAGAAACTTGTTCATAATCCCAGAGGTTGTAGAGTAGTATCTAAAGTACACATAAAATAAATCATTTGATGGTCAAGCTTCATCTACGTAGTACGACGTTACGACGTACAAAAGAATAAAAGCATTTATTTTGATGGGTGGGCCATGTTGCAAAACCTCTTAGATAATTACAACACCAGAACATTAAATTAAACAATGCAATTGTTGTTAGTTTTAATTTACTTGGGTCAAAGCAAGCGCACCACTGTTTCTCCGCCTTCGCTGAATGAATGCGCGCTCCCGCGGCCAGGGGAAACACTCTCTGTCGGGGATACCTACATTGGCACGACACCTGTCTAGCTAGATCCGGTGTGGTGTTGTAGTTTTTCTAACGTTACTAGTTGTTGCAACAGCATGTGAAAAAAACTAGAAAGTGTGCTAGGCATTAATCTTGCGATAAAAAAATTTACGCCGTTAAAAAGGGTTTGCGTTAACACCGTTAATAATGCGTTTAACTGACAGCACTAATTAAAACATATGAATAATTAATAGGGATATACAATATGGATTTTTTTGAGCCAATACAATAACCAATAATTAATAGTTATAACCGATGGGATAACCGATTATTTCGCGAGAGGGATGATACGCAGCAAAGGGCTGCAGGTTGGAATCGAACCTTGGCTGCTGCAGTAAGGACTCAACCTGCATGGGGTGCATGCTTTACCAGGTGAGCTACCGTGCTCCCAAGAGCATTTAGCTGTTAAAGAGACAGATATTTCAATAAATATTAACCAGAAACATAACTCCAAATTAATACTAATTTTGGTCTGTGTCTGCTGGATTAATAATAAAACAACTGTTGGCTAACATGTTCACCATATTAACCTTACTATATGTCAGTGTTGCATTTACAGCTTGCTCCACTGTCCCAAAGTGGCCAAAAAACGAACAAAAAAAGCCCACACAATAAATGTAACTTTAAAGAAATGTATTACTGAATAAACTATATTCCAGCATAATTTACATTATATTACATTCATTTGCAAAGAAACTAGCAATGGATGTAGTAAGGGAACCAGTGGAGTGGCTCCTAGTAGCACATTATAGTCATCCCAGTCTTTTACAATACTAGCACTACTAGTACTTCAACCAGAAATAAATAACAACAACAGGAGATGTTTACAGTGTAGAACAGGCTGCAGTGGTCAACTGTACTGATATTGCATTAGGTCACCTGGACCAGCCTACAAAATTCACATTTTCTGTGGTCACACATTCACAAGCTTTGGCCAAGCTGTTACGTACTCCATAAGGAATTATTTGACAGTGCAGCCAGTGATTATTAATGATAATTGAGTAATGATGAATACACAACTAATGTGGTATTGAATAACAGTATAAAGTGATTCTATTTTGAATTCATACTCTTAGTCTTACACTCACTGACAAATGGGTGTCTTTGATAGAATGTATTAAGTACACTTTTTGGATTGTATCAAATACATATAAAAATATTTATTTCAGTGTTACAGAAATGTGTATCAGTAGCCTGATTAATTTGGACCCTGCACCATAACTTCCAACCAAATAAAGCATTATAGTAGAAGAAGTAGTATTGTACATAGAAGTATTAGTAGTAGTAGCCATTGTGTGAGACATCCTTACAATAGTTAATGCAATCATCAAAGGTCTGAGATTGCCACGATGCTATAAATACTGTACTCTGAAGGACACCGGATTTTATTGATGCCCCGATTTTACACTAATATAGAAGGTGAACAGGTGACGATTGCAAAGTACATACGTACAAGTTTTGGAGTTTTGTTAACTGTTGTACTGGATGGACCATACAAGTTTAACTTCAGCTTTAGCTGTTGCAAGCAGCCATTGGATCTCACTTATTGTTGTAAGGTAACACAGTGCAATAAAATCAGTGATAACTAAGCAAGATTATTTAACTTCTACGTATGTTCTTCTCTGCAACTACCCAAAGCAGCCAATTGCACTTTAAATTTCCTTCATTAAATGAAACCACTCTTTACGTTGTATAATAGTGTTTTGGTCTTAGCTCCTCTTTCTCTTTCACTATTTACTTGTTTTATCATAGTACAATCTAATCTAAATAAAATTTAGAAGTTGAAATGCATTCTTCACACTCCTGTGACGCATTTCATAACACTAAACAGTAGCTCCATATGTCTGGCTCCTCTGTTGGTGTGTCAGTCTCCTGGACTGAAGTCGGCTGCTGCTGCTGCAGGAACTGGTCCCAATCTGGCCGCCGAACTGGTAGCTCTATCTGGAAGTGGTTCCAGAACCTGGAGATCAACAGGGCATATTTAAGTTTAGGACATTTACAATAACTGTTCATCATAATGAATAAAAGCAACACTGTTGTGTCCATTGTGCTTCCATCTCTCAGTACTGTGTTCCATATTATAAAAACTGATATAGCAAAATCTGATCCGACAAAAACCTGTATCATTAGTGTAACACGCCTCCGAAGAAAACATGATGTATTACAAAATATTTCCAATAGTATGAACCACAAATCCTGGTCCAGTATGCAACTTATATAAGTGTTATTTCTATTTCTGCTTCTTATACACACCCCTTCAATAATCACACTTCACATGGTAAAACAATGAAGCTTAACATTTGTTAACTACAGAGAAATAAAGAGACTCCTTGTACCTTTAAAGCTTTTACAGAGCCTCGTATCAGGTATCAACATTATCATCTGATCTCTGTGAATGTAAATCAATGCAAAGAGTTAACAAATAACTCACTGAGATATTTGTTTTTATAAATGCGAAGGTCTTTGCATAATTTGCAAAATATCATAGACACTCTCTGTCTGTCTGCCCCTTTGCTTCCCTGTCATTTGTCTTCTGTGTGGACCCATAGACGTGTGGATCGCTACAATGGTGGGAAAAAGGAATTAGGGCCAAAAGTTCTATTTACAGCCACGAAAAGCAGGCAGGCTAAGAAACCGAACTAAATGGCGTGCTTTGCCTGTCTGTCTGTCTGTCTATCAAACTCCTCCGCTCTGTTTCAGAGCCATGGAAAGCGTGGCCGGTGTTGTGGCACACTTATTAAACAATGAGCGAATCAACACACAACATTAATGCGCCCTGTATGTATTATCTCTGCTGTATTTTTTAAATTTGCTGGGAGGGAGGGATCTAGCAGAGGTTATCAGGGGTTTAGTTACACTTTAAGCATTGTGGAACTGAAATCGTCAATGAGTTATAAATGGACCTGAAAGTGTCAGCTGAGGAGCAATGACACCAGATAAACTCTGTTAAACTATAATATAAAGGCAGTGGGAGTCTCCGTTAAAGTGAAACCACTGAGTTATTGCATTAACAGTTGAAAGAGGTCAAAATGTCAGTTGAAGAGAAAGCGATAAAGCAAAAATAAATATGTTTTACCAGCATTCAAGTTATGCACCACTGAGTCTGATTGGGCTAGAACTAAAACAAGCAGCAAATATTTACATATGCCTTTATCGTTGCTTCCCAGTAAGTGTGGATTTGCCCTGCTGCATTGTGAAAGCTATGAGGAAATGAATGCTGTTTTTCTTTCAAAAATGTAAAAAAGTTCTGAAGTACTCTTCTAAAAAGTGTGCCTGTGTTCAAAATACTGACGTATGTACTGAATACACATGCTTCATTTTTGTATTCTGTACAACCAAACCACGCACAAAAATAATGAGTGGCCCCTATCAAATGTCTGTTTTCTCACTGAGGAAAGGATTCAAAGTCTTTATTGTCATATACAGAACTAAACAAGTCATTATTGGTTTTGTTATATGAGATAAAGTGTGTGTACTTGTGGTGGTAGATGTCTGTCTGCCCCTTTGCTTCCCTGTCATTTGTCTTCTGTGTGGACCCATAGACGTGTGGATCGCTACAATGGTGGGAAAAAGGAATTAGGGCCAAAAGTTCTATTTACAGCCACGAAAAGCAGGCAGGCTAAGAAACCGAACTAAATGGCGTGCTTTGCCTGTCTGTCTGTCTGTCTGTCTGTCTGTCTGTCTATCAAACTCCTCCGCTCTGTTTTAGAGCCATGGAAAGCGTGGCCGGTGTTGTGGCACACTTATTAAACAATGAGCGAATCAACACACAACATTAATGTGCCCTGTATGTATTATCTCTGCTGTATTTTTTTAATTTGCTGGGAGGGAGGGATCTAGCAGAGGTTATCAGGGGTTTAGTTACACTTTAAGCATTGTGGAACTGAAATTGTCAATGAGTTATAAATGGACCTGAAAGTGTCAGCTGAGGAGCAATGACACCAGATAAACTCTGTTAAACTATAATATAAAGGCAGTGGGAGTCTCCGTTAAAGTGAAACCACTGAGTTATTGCATTAACAGTTGAAAGAGGTCAAAATGTCAGTTGAAGAGAAAGCGATAAAGCAAAAATAAATATGTTTTACCAGCATTCAAGTTATGCACCACTGAGTCTGATTGGGCTAGAACTAAAACAAGCAGCAAATATTTACATGTGCCTTTATCGTTGCTTCCCAGTAAGTGTGGATTTGCCCTGCTGCATTGTGAAAGCTATGAGGAAATGAATGCTGTTTTTCTTTCAAAAATGTAAAAAAAGTTCTGAAGTACTCTTCTAAAAAGTGTGCCTGTGTTCAAAATACTGACGTATGTACTGAATACACATGCTTCATTTTTGTATTCTGTACAACCAAACCACGCACAAAAATAATGAGTGGCCCCTATCAAATGTCTGTTTTCTCACTGAGGAAAGGATTCAAAGTCTTTATTGTCATATACAGAACTAAACAACAGTCATTATTGGTTTTGTTATATGAGATAAAGTGTGTGTACTTGTGGTGGTAGATGTCCGGGTCTCTGCTTATGCGGTTCTGGAAGCCGATGTACAGGTCATCCCAGAGATGGCCGTGCAGCACCACGTATCTCATCACCCCAATCCTGTTTTTAATCTTTAGGGAGGGAGCCAAGAAACGTCTGGGTTAGTGCGCCAGTCTATACAGTACCTGTTCATGTGTATAATGCAGTGAGTCATAAGGCGAAAGGGTATCTTCATTTCAAGTACAAAGAATATTTCAGACTCATAAAAGTGAATGGTACAGATGTTTAAATAAGTCCAGCCTTCCACTAAATAGTGAAATGCTTGCTTGTGTAATCCGGTGTTTGCTGGAACTGCCACTGACTGCTGTTCAGCAAGACACTTCCATAGACAGACACACCTTGTACTTCAAACCTTTTTTATGATTCATATTCCTGTACGTTTGCTTGTACATCGGAATTTCTTTGTACATAGGTGTCAGCTTTGACCCTGTCAGCTACAATAACAGGGATTTTGTATGCACTTCCCACACCTCTATTATGCTGCTGTGTGTTGTTAGTTAGTCTTTAAAATGCCTCACCTCTATGTAGGAGTGCTCTCTGTCAGGCCTCTTGGTGGGGAACGACAGATCCACAAAGTCCACAAAGTAGTCGTAGCCATCAGTAAGGGGTTCAAAGTTGTCATCTGTCTCAATCATCTTGAACATACATGTTGGGACATTTGCATTTTATCAAACAGACATCAAGTTTGAAGTTGCAAACAGAAAGAAAGGAAGAGCGGGTCAGCCAATAGGACCAGTTTTCAGTTTAAAATAAGCTCATTACCCAGGGGGACAGACTGCGGCTTTAGAGAGAGAGAGAGCAGCTGGGGAGGACCACTGAAAGCTGGCAGGAAAGGGAAGAGGGGAGGAGGACATAGAGCAGAGTCAATTAAAATCTAAGATTAAAAACATACATGATATAACCTCTACATGTCCTTGCAATGCTAGCAGCATGGCTGTAGGGATAGCGGTGGTGTTCAGTTGGTCCAATACTTTGGTCCAGAATGAAACCGCTCTACAACTATTAGATTGTTTTGGAAGTTTGTACACGCATCTCCAGTGGATGAATTCTTTTAACTTTGGTTCAGAATTTCAATTTGTCAAATACTGTTTAGTGTTAATTAGTAAATGTTAGCATGTTAATGCACTAAGCTAAGATGGTAAACATGGTAAACATTATACCTGCCTAACATCGTGTTGGTACTGTCACTGTGAGCACATCACCGCTGCTTATGTACAGCCATAGGTGGTGCTATTAAAGAGACTAGACTCAAATTATCACTGCAAAAATAAGGCACTTCATGTAGCTATAGTGCTGTCAGCATCACACATTACACTGATCTGAGTTCAGTAGCAGATCTACCATTCAGTATCCCCACATTGGTATTTAAAGTTAGCTAATTAGGCTGCCACTGTCCAGAGGTCAGTGCTTTGCGCTGTCACTACATCACTTACATGAGCACACCTTGGAGAATGCTAGAAGCTAACTGCTCCCAGGATGTTGCACTTACATCTTATCACTGCACTGACTATCAAGCCAGGACTCTTCAGTGTGATTACTCTTAAGTAGAACAAAGCACCAGAACCAAATGTGCTGCCAGAGGTTATTAATATGCTACAGTGCCCAGAAAGGTTTATGCAAAGGAAGAGCATCTGCCATAGATGTTGCGGAAGAACAGAGGTAAAGTATATTTACCCGAATAACAAGGTTGTAGTTTTGAAAGCCTGCCCAGGTGTAATAAAACTGGATCCAGCTTTGATGTTTAAATATCTCACAGCTGATGGCGCTGTTCAGTTCATCCACATATAAGTCGAAATCCCAACTGTCCTTGTAGATTTTTGCACTGCCTGGGGGACTGGTGATGGCCTCACTATGTTTGGTAGTGTAGTAAAGGAATTACACATAAGTATTCACATAAAATAGGAACTTCATATGTGCACTTTAAAGGATCATTTTATTTTATTACAATTTTGATCTTTTTTGTATTTTGGCCATCATTCCTATTGGTAATAATAACATACTCACCACGACCCTTTGCTAAACTCAGCACACTTTAGTTACTGTTGCTACCTCTGTCAAGTTTTTGGATTGTTGTGGCCTAAAATGTCTTACACTGAAAACTGTAAAAACAAAAAAAAAAATTGAGATTTGAGGGAACTTGTTCCAGCAAGAATAAAACCACTAGTAGTTGTGATGTATGGCCCAACGTTTTGCGCATGGGACCACTATGATTCGTGAAACTTATGGGAAGCTACAATGTTAAAATGATTAAATTTGCAGAAAAGTTGTGGTGATTGGGCAAAATTGCAAGGTCACACAGAACTCACAGGGATTGGTTGAATTTGGTTCATTGTAGTGAGTGCATCATCGCAACTTCCTGTAGGGACTGAAAGGTAGAAAAAAGCAGCTTCTTATTCGTAGCCAGCAGCTGTCGATTGTTTTTGGTTATAATGAACTGTCGCTGGCAGATTTCACCAGCTGTAGTTAGCTTGCTCCGTGAGTTGGTTTGAAAATGCTGTCTCTGACTGACTCATTTTAAAACAAGAAAGATATTTAAGGATCCTACATGACCAGTATGCTGTTGCATTCAGTCTAGCGATGAAGTTCCAGATTGCAACCTTTTGAATACTGCTACTCTTCCAACTGTTTATGGGAAACTACGGTGGCTGTGAAACCTGTGACAAAAGCGAAAGACCTTATCTAGCCAGTGTTTGGTTTGTCTGTTCTGGGCTACTGTAGAAACATGGCTTCAACGGGGTAAAGGAGGAAACGCTGCCTGTATAGATAAAAACGTCTCATTCTGAGGTAAGAAAAACACAGCTTATTCTTATTTTTAGGTGATTATACACATACCCATGTATAATATGTCCTGAATGTTGCACACTGGAGCTTTAAATAAGCAATGAATGGCTTCAGTCATTATATTGCATGTCCCAAGAAAAATTTGGCATCCTGGCAGTAAAGAAACAGCATTGTTCTTGAAAATGTTGCTTGTTCTAGTTTCACCACTATTAATTGATTTAGATTATCTGGATAAACGTAAGGCTTGTTTACAACCTGTCTGATCACCTGGCTGCTCATGTTAACGCGCTCCCATATCTCAGCAGGTCTGTATAGGGCGTTATTATAACCAATAGAAATGATGTCCAAAACTAAACAGACTGTCTTGTGCTGACATATGTACTGGAATGTATCTAGTTGTAAAGTACTGACTGAGTCATTTTTTCTTTGCCACAGTCAGACATGAGATAAAACACACAAACACACACACACAGTGCTCGGGTGTGTTGTCAACCTGTTAGTGGGGTCTCTCAGAGCGAGGCCGAGGTCCAGCACAGAGCCTGGCTTGGGTGTCCATGTCTTGATTTCTGGTGCGATCTTATTGATGAGCGCATTGAGGTCCTCTGCACTGTTTTTAATGTTTGTATCCTTGATGTATCTGTACACACAATGGAGACAAACATTCACTTTTGGAAGGACACAAGAGAACCACTGAGCCAGGTTTTTACACATACAATAGTTACTTTTTGTTCACATTGTTGATTATTCTACAAGATAATCTGTGTATATACACATATATATACATACTCTACCTGTCTGATGGATGAGCCTCCACAAAATATCCAGCGAAGGGGCAGTAGATCCTGGGCTGCAGGGACTTCACCAGCTGAGATTTGTAATTCAGCAGCTTCTTCCTTTCATTCTTGATAAACTCTTCCTTCCAGGAATCTGGGTACAGTCATATACCATCATCTTTACATCAGCAGTGTGGTACACATCAAATGTGTATTAAAAAAAGATGTCAGATCTTTATATTGCTCCCTAACTTTGAAATATTAACGCCATTGTTTGGAATACCAATTCTCTACCTGTATTTGCACATCCATTTGTTTTACTTCCATTTGCACTGTTTACTGTAGCTACTGTTAATTTTATATATATATAGTACTTTATATTTTATCTTCTATTTTATTTTTAATTCTATTCTTAAGGTTAGGGATTTTAATTTTAGTCTAATGTTTAATGTATGTTTTGTATTTTGTATGCTACTGGATACTTGAATTTCCCTCGGGATTATAAAGTATCTATCTATCTTTCTATCTATCTATCTAATATTAAACCTGTAATGTAGGTAAGCTGAACTTTTAAGACAAATTTTGTGACAAACCTAAAATTTTTCATGAGGGTATAACTTTATCTTTCAGTAGTTCCAGTCGAAAGGGAAAATAAAAGGACCAACATGGATAGACTAAATTATTACATTTAGGATAAATTGCGATGTATATAAAAATATTTAAACTTAACTATACTGTGGTGTGCAGTGAGATGAAATGCTTAACCACTGAAGTGAGCCTCACCACTGTATTTCCCTCCGGAGAAGGTCATGGGGAATCCAGATGCCCCCCCGGCAAAGTCACTCAACATTAAGTCCACATTCTCTGGTAGCCTTCCCCCGTTTGGCCTGGTGCAGTCCACAGTATTCAGGATCATGTGGCCTGCAAATATGTATGTTTTTTACTCTGCAACTCTAGTGTTGGTAAAAAAAAATTTAAATATTACAATAATATATATTAATTTAAAATATGAAAAGTCATTGAAAAGTATGTACCTTTATATTCAACGATGATGCAGGTGTCCATTTCGGGATGTACGCCATCCATCAGGATCATGAATCTCAGGTGTTCGTCAATCTGATATAAACCAAGGGACAGGGTAGCCACTAAATACATTATAGTTATTATCGTGGTAGCAGAATTGGCACTATACCTTAGGGTACATTAATAGGATGTAAAAAGCCTAATTTATATCAGTGTAGACCCAAATTGGAAATTATATCCTTTATTAGACAGTAAGTGAACATCTTATTCAAACCGCATATAATGCCGTATTAGACCCAAAATATACCATACTCAGGTACTAAATACAAAATGATATTATAATTTAAAACAAAATAGGATATCCTGATAATCTATCAGACACCATTTTACAAGATCATAGTATACTAATTAGAAATGAAATATAATTCAAACAGTACATTTATTTGACCTTTATTTACTATAGTTTCACTTTTTTACAGGGTCATGTGGTGCTCATTAGAAAAATGATTGACAATTAATGTACTTCGCACTTAGAGTCAGAGTGCTCGGCTACACTAAATGGAACATAGCCTTTTTTAGTATCATTGGTTACACCTGTGTTTACCCTACTATTTCATGTCGAAATGGCTGCTGTGTCTGCAGACATAATTTCAACATTGCCTCTGTGCTTAAGCTTTGATATAATCCAGGATTTATTTGGCTATATATGGTGGTTCTAGACCATATATTGCATAAAATGAATAAAAAAAAAAACCTGTCCTTGGACCAGATAGCAGTAACTTACATCTTGCCAGACACCAAAGGGAACAACATTGATGTTGGTCAGCTTGACTTGGCTTTGCTCCAAATACCTGTTGCATCAAGACAGAGAGAGAGGGACACACAAATAACAGAGTAACACTTACTTAGAACACAATAAAAATATTTTTTAAATGATAAATTTAATGGATTTAACTGAACTCCATTCATTTACTAACCAAAAGACAGGTCTCAGTGTGTCACCAACATAAATGGGGACATCTGGCCTCCTCTTTGACAAGTCTTTCAGTGTGGGGTAACTAGAAAAGAACAGGACAGGTTAGATCCCTACAAGGCATTATACATCCTAAGCTATGAGTGAATGATATTCCTAAGCCATGACAAGTTTGAACCTGGATTTACCGCGCCCACTGCATGCCTATTAGATATAATTATGACTTGACATCTCCTTACAAGATCAAGAGATTTTTGAAAGACTTGTTTTCTGTGCTGAATACAATGCACTTCCGCATTTGACAGGAAATGTTACAGATATAAAGGAAAACACAAAAACATATATATATAGTTTTGATTTATCGTAATTCTTATATTAATTAATATATAATGGAGGCAAATATTAGGTATATAAGGCGTAATGTCTTTTTGTAATTTTTTTTTACAGTAGCAGCTCATTGTCATTGTTTGGCTCGTGTTTTTTTCCATGATTCATCATTCTTCTGATCTTTAAAAATACATTGACTATCTTAGTTGTGGTGTGTGGGCGCAAAAATAGAAGTAATGCTGCCAGAATGCTTATGCAGGTGTGCTTGTCAGATGGTCAAATAGCTTCGGAAACCCACTCCCCCCAAACCGTTCTGATGTCAAGAGAGAGATAAAAAAAAAAAAGGATAACAAAGCTGAACAAAGAAAGGTGAGAATAAATCCTGTAGCAGTTATGTATGAGAGACATTTGGCACCTGGTACGTGACAGGGAGTGGGGCCAGTAATGACTAAGTGTTATGTTCAGACAAGTTGCACCAGTAATGGTATTTAAAAGTTGTTTTGCCATTGAAGCCTTATTTAAAGATCCAGCATGTAACATTTAGGACGATCTATTGGCAGAAATGGAACATAACCGGGAATTGGGAAGGGAAAAATGGCATTAGAAAATCTCTACTGTGACGTGGATGACGGGTTATTATTAAAAGGAAAAGTATCTACTTAACAACATCTACAGAGTTTACCTGAGGTGGTCAGAGTGCATATGGCTGATGTAGATGAGATCTGCTGCACACAGTCTGTCCAGGGAGTCTGCTGGAGGCTCGTGGAAAAGCCACCAGCCCCTGGCAAATGCAGGACCCTTTAACCACGGGTCGAACATGAACCGCCTCTGTCCCAGCTGCAGCTCCATGCAGGCGTGGGTTAAGTACGTTACCTGGGAGGGAAGTTCAGAATTTTACAGGTGTCAGATGTCACATTATTACCTTGATGATTCGGTTGTGTCGCAATAGACAGATCTGACAACGCTTATAAACTGTGAACAGAGCTGGCTACTGTCCAAGAGAAGACACATAGAACCATCACTGTGGAGGATTTTTTAGGGAAAGCAAACAATTGTTTGTCTTTTTACAGAACACAATAATGATAATGTATGTCATATGGCTGTTATTGTGTTGACACTCTGCATTAAACATAAATGAGCATTTAAGTAAAAAAGGAGATAATTTTATACAATTTCATTACACAATTTCACAGTTTTTAATAGCTGTTTGTGTTTTCTGCTGCAATCCTTAAATGTCTCCACAAGACTAAATTAAAACGTGTCCAAATTTTAACTTGAACGTTTTCTAAACTCTGTATTTCTATAGATTTTGATGTAAGAATTAAAGTGTTATTAATGTGGGGTGTGGTGTAAAGAGTAGACTGTGTGAACAGCAGGATACATACTTTGACTTCTCCTTTCTGGAGCTCCAGAGGCTCTCGAGGGTCAGCCAGCCAGGGGTCGATGGGGTTCAACTCGACCAACTGAAGCCCCCCGTCATCCATAATCTCTACATCTGTGTGCCACATAACATACATGCTCATCTGGATATGCAGAAGGCATTTACATTGTCTTAAGAGATAAACTACCATGGTAATGTTACTTTGACTCACAGCTCCACTCTTGTTGAGCTTTACTCACAGTTTTACAGAATTAATCAAGAATGCAAACTTTCTCACAAATGCTTTAAGTTATAGATCGTGAGAGGGATTTAATTTTGAGTTACGACTTTGAAGCTGGGCATTCCTTTTACAAACATTGTGTTGACAATAGCAGCATCTAACAGTGGGAAATAAGGTTATCTCCTCCTGGCACGACCATTTATATCATCCTGTAAGCATCACAGTTTACTGATTTTGCACAACAGGATATCTGGCTGTGAGTTGAATTGTGGCCTCAATTGAAAAAGAGAAGAAATGTTTCATATATTTAGATTTGTTTTCTGCCTTGAATCGTTTTGTATGCATTTACTCATCTATTTCTACATTTACTCGTTGTTTGTTAGGTCATACACACATGTTTTTATATTAAATGATGCTTCAGTAATCAGGTAGAGTCATGACATCAGCAGTCAAACAGCTTTCAGCTTTGAAGCGATGCCAAAAAAAATAGAAACCAACTCTTTTTTTCCCCTCACGGATCAGTGAAAAGTCAATAGAACGGGTCCTCGTTTCAGTTTGCATTAATGACAGTGTTTGCGAACACCTCCCAGAAACCTTCCGTGAAAGTACAGTTAATTAATACCCGTGTACTGGTACACTTTACCTTTAGCTGCAAAAAGGTGATGACTTCTTATTTCTGTGCACTAATCAGGATGTAGCAATATTGAAACCTGCATTGACACTGATTTTCTTATTATCACATTTTAAGTTGATATTATAATTTTTTTTATTATACATCCAGCAGTTAGAGAGTAACATTAGCATTCATTTGGGATCATTTGGGAACTCTCCTTTAGCTGCTGACAGCTGGTCTCTAACTGTGTTTGCTGTTTAGTGCTGAGCAAGTAGTGTTTTCATTCAATTTTTTATTCATTTTTCATTGAACAAAGCAGGCTACTACTGGAAATGACCGATGAGGGCCATCAGAGTGAACCGAAACATTGCAATTGGGATGTAAACCAAAACAACATGCTGAAAAGTGCTAAAACGCTCCTGATGAGCCCTTTCATATGCAACATGTCATCAGAGGACAGTTCGTAGGACATATTCCTGATGTAGCAGACTCCCTGAGTTCTGGAGTGTTAAACTCTTAATAAATAATACTTAAAGGTCCAGTGTGTACTGTTTAGGGGGATCTATTGGATGAAATTGAATATCATATGCAAAACTTTGTTTTTATCAGTGTATAATCACCTGAAAATAAGAATCGTGTTTTTTGTTACCTAAAAAATGAGCTGTTTTTATCTACAAACTGGGTGGTCATTCTGTATCCATGAACCTTTGTAGCTAAAAAGTGAAGGTAAAAGGAGAAACCAAGCTACAGTGAGAGAAAGATCTGCCAGAAAAAGAGAGTTGTCCACATATTTGTAATTACATTATATAGGCTATTATGTCTGTTGGGATCATTTATAATTTGTACAAATTGTTCTGTCTTCCTTATCGAAGCCAAAAATCTGAGTAGCCTCGAATGTCTCTGGCTTGGCCAATATTTCCGCAGGCAGCCAACATTTGGTTTGGTCTTTTGTTAACCTCTGCTCAATGCACACAATGACAACCACAGTATGATATAATTGAGAGCAGGTGAGGGTAAGGGATAGGGTTAAAAAGTGAGGAGGAGTGTCAGGACTCTTTCATCTGTATCTGAAAAAAATGAATTAGACCAGGGCAGACTAACTGAACAGTCAGAAAAAAAACAAAAGAAATAGGGGCAGAACTTACCAAGCTCATCCTGCAAAAAGCAGTCTGGTGGATTCACGTACTTCATTGTTGACACATTTAGCTTCCAGTTGTGTTTGGTACATTTAACAGTCCTGTGAGAACAGAGCAGCCTGTCAGCTGGAATAAAACAGTTTGTTGACACAGCATGATACTGGTACTTTTTCTGGCAGAATGACCTCACCTGCCATCCAAGTCCTCGATGTCTTTGATGAATAACCCTCCTTGGTGTTTGCATTGGTTCTTGCATGCTTTAAGGCCATCTTTGTTCTTGTATATGATGTAACATTTACCGTCCTCTGGGTTCTTCTTGAAATTGACTCCCTCTTTAAGTGAGCCGACTGCTTCAGCATTCAGTGCCAGCAACACCTGCGCACTTTGAGGGGTCATTTTTACCTAAAATTTGACAACAGACCAAAACATTTTTTTATTTTAAGCACGGTTTTAAGTTTGCACTTCTGAAACAAGATCACTTGACCATAACCTCCTAATCTTTGTTTAACATAATCTACTTAGAGGTAAAGTGATATTGACCACAAGATTCTTAGCAGTGCTTTACAGCAGTATTTCCCAGAACAGTGACAGGAAAGGGGGAAGGAGAGGGGATGACCAGGGCAACCCAGAAATTTAATTTTTTATTTCATTTCTGATCAAAATAACAATGTTTCAATGCCTCATGTTAATCTTCATCTACCCCCTGTGGCAGCCCCGACCACCAGGTTGGAAGCCACTGTCAATCATATTTCTGCCCATTTCTGAGCACCGCAATTCCTACATAGTTTTGAAATTTGATAAATTGTTTGCTTATATTGTGACAGGGAAAATTATATTGTTTTTTGTTCTTTGTTCTTTGTATACTGGAAGCCACAGCTACAAAATGTATGAAAAACACCAGAGCCAGTGTTTGGTCTGTCCATTGTGGGCTACTGTAGAAACATGGTGGTTAAACAGGTTTAACATGACACATTAGAGGACCCACTACCTGTCATTTTGGCTATTTGCTGGATGAAAATCAAGTACAGTCAGCTAGCTCCATTCTTCCTTCACTGAAGAAGTGTTACCAATGATACAAGGTTCCATTCCATTCAGGTCAAACAGAGTCAGGTTGCTGTTATCGTGATGAAAAAAGTTTTAAAGGCTAAAAAAAATCTTTTACAGTGGGAAGGATTTTTAAAAAATGTAGGACCCTGCCTCATGTAAAAGCGGGTGTCAGTGTTTACAACTTTGATGAGAGGATGAAGTACAATGATAGTGAATGGGGAACCATGAGATTGGGAAGAGAAATCAGGTGAAGTCGTGTTCTCCCCCAGTGTGAAGCCAGTAAATAACAGTAATGTTAAGTTGATGTGCAGCTTGGAGCTCTCTCTCCGCTGTCTGTCTCATTAACAGCTGACAGTGCAGCTATTCATTACTTATTACAACTATTGTATTACGTTTGATAAACACCAACAGGCAGCAGGGTTTACTAACAGCAGCTCGCAAAATGTAACTGGTCGAACGTGCTGGGTTCATATGCGCGAGCACCAAATGAAACTCTCTGGGAACCAGTCAGGATAATATGGGCATGACGGTACACCTCATAGACACAGATTATTTTAAAATAAGACTGATTATCTAGTCTCTCAAAGCACTGGATTGACACTGACTATTATAATATTGAATTTAAATGTTGATTATGACTATGAATGACTAGCTTTTGAGACTTGCTGCAGCCTGAGCCTGTAGACTGATGGCCCCCTAGCAGAATTTTGCTTATCAGAAGGTGGATATAAAATGTGTCATTTGTGATAAACCATACTGCGCTGTGATATCCAGGGTTTAACTGCTTATATACTGCAATATCTAACACAGTGAGAGTTGGAAAGCATCAAAGGCAGATGGGAGGTGAGTTACACAGTTATGGAGATAAGATGCGTAAAAGTGAATAAAATCTTAGTTTCAAGTCAATTTTTAACTAGTAGAGTAACTTCAAACTTCAGAAATGACAACTCAAATGGATAAATTAGCATCAGCAAGTTGTGTAGTACTCTTTCTGTAGAGTCTGTACTGAGTTTGCATGTTATTTCCATGACTGTGTGTATTTCCTATAGGTGCTCAGGTTTCCCCCTACAGCTAAGTGTTACTTGACTCTAAGTCATATAATATGACTGAGGCGTTACTTGTCTAATGTGCAATCTGAATGTGCACTGTAAGCAATTTCTGTAAATTTACAGCCAATTTTCAACACTAAAATACTGTTTTCATGTTTAACAGCGTAGTACTGTAGTTAGCAATGCATTGTGGGCTTCTTAACTTGGAGCAACAGGACCGAGGCCGTAAACAGTATCCTGATGTTTTAAATTACAGGACACTACAGTATTTTTTGGAAATTTTCCAGAAGAGGACAGCAGGATGCACAGTTTAGCGGATATATCACAGGTCTTCATCACCATCATTCCGGTCTTGCATCTACAAAATTAAACGGTAAGTTAATTAAAATCTTATTTTCTTTGTTTAATCTTGGTCTGCATCCGAGGAGCAGCACCTCTTAACGTGAGGCCAACATCGGCAGATGGAAAATAGCATTAGACTACTGGAATAATTATATCTTGCCCGGTGGTTAACGATTTATTTCAACCAAACCATAGGATTTTTGGAACATCGCCTAGAGATAGTTTTGGTGAGTTTTATTTTGTATGTGACTTTTAATGAAGTGTGTTTTACAATGAGCTAACGGAATTCAGCTAGTTCGGTTTGTTCATGTGTTGTTTTGACAGTCTGGCATTGCCACATTAAGCCACAAGAGAACTGGTATTATTAGCTTTATAAGCATTAGCTTGGAGGGTATATTGTACATTCCTGATTGTATAATATTTGTTTGTTATTGTTTAACAGTGGCAACACTGGAATAATGCTACAGAGGAACAGGGACTAACAAACTGATGGTCATCTCTCCTGGATCCACAAGATTTGAATCAGGGCCGTTCACACCAACCCAGACTCCCACCGGAACTAACTAAGACGTAAAAACACAAACCTACCTCACAGACTATTTTAAGACGTAAAAACAAAAACCTACCTCACAGACTATTTTAAGAAGTTAACTGCAAGTCGCAAGCTTGCATTGGCACAGGTGCCTATTAAAGTTTTCTTCCCTAAATGTTGTTTTTGATCCATGTTATTGATGCATATTGTCAAAATGTTCTAACTCTACTGTAATAGTTTCGAAATGGCCTTAATGCACTTTTTGAAAATGTTCTTACATTTGTAAATGTTGTCAATTTTGCATATTCTGCATTTTCACAGACAGCAGAAAATGCATTGCAGATTACATAATGTAAATCTTATAATGTAAGTTGAGTTTTGAGGAAATTTTAATCTAACTCACAGGACTATTTTAAGTAGTTTTATGTGTTTCAAACTTCTCTTACTGTTGTATATTTTTGCTGGCAGCAGTTTATTGCAGTAAATTCTGAGATTGTATTTTAAAACTAAAATCTTATGCAAGAACATAAGCATACCTCACAGGAAAGGTTAAACTCTTATTTCCTCTGTATTTGTTGCGTTGGTCTTTTTCTTAGACCCATTGTATTATTGAACAAGTGTTCAAACTTATGTGTTGAAGGCAATATTAAATAATATTGACATTGGCCCAAAAAGTCAGCTATAGGTCATGCCCTGACAAGCAGGTTATGCTCTGACAAGCAATTTAAGAATAAAGTTAAGTTTATCGCCATAGTCTAAAGCAGACACTACTAGGCTGTTTCTGTTTGCTACTCGAAATCTCTTCTCAGTGTCGTCCAACAGGGTTTATTTTCTTTTTTTCCATTTTTTAAATTTTTATTGCTTATTTTGCACAATATTCACAAAAAGTGCTGAAGCAATTGTCTGAGAGCCCTGAGAATAATGAAGTTCTAATATTGATTGCAATTAAGACTAATATTTTAGGAAACTGCTAAACTTTGTTATTATATTATCTACTGTGTCTGTCTACAGTAAACTGAGAAGTTAAAGTAACAAGTTAAACAGAATATTATTGTAATTTCCAAATAATCATAGAAATATGCTGCATTTATTTTATTTTTTTACTGTATTAGACTGTGAAATCATTTAACAGTTTGAATACAGAAGTATACTGTATTTCTGGTTTACAGACTACTACTGTAAAGTCAATTTACAGTATGAATACCTTAGAATTACAGTATATTGCTGGCGTTCCCGCTGCCAGCTCTTTACCGTAAATTATAGAATAACAGAAATATACCGTATTTCTTGTTTACAGTCTACTACTGTAAAATCATTTTACGGATGAATACCGTTAAAAACTGTATATTGCTGGCGTCCCTGCTGCCAGCTCTTTACTGTTATTTTACAGGAAAATTATTTACAGTGTGAGCTTGAATTGTTGTCTGCTGGGATTGGTCTCAGGCAGAGGCAGGTATAGCCAAGTAGGTATTAACCAAGTGTGTTTAAAAGGCACGCTCACTCTTTTGTCAGAGAGAGAAACAAGTGTTGCAGTCTGAAATCAGAATCCACAAATGATGTCATTCTGATTATTAAGTATAGTTATATAAGTATTGTAATGTATACAATAGTGTAAAATCTATGCATGGTCTCATCAGTCACTATCTACAACTGTCAGTGTTGGAGACATACAGTGAAACAAGTAGTACTACATTTTCCAAAATCCTGTGGGTAGCTGCTGAAATAGTTCTAACGTTTCCAGTAGTGGGTAGTTGTCAATATGTGTTTCCGCCAGACTTAGTGTAGTCTTATATATTTAATTTTTTTTTCAGTATAGTTTAGTTTCACTCAACTGCCAGAGCCTGTTTGCTTGTTTCAGTTAAAAAAAATATTTATTTATATTTCAGTTAACTAAAATATTCTTAACAACTAGTTTCCCTTAACTGAACCCAACCATGACTCCAACCTGTTATCAGTGCTTGATATATATCAATATCAGTATGTGCTACTTTAAAGAGCCATGTCACTAACACACATACACTCCTCCATTAACGAGACTTACATTTAAAAGGTGGTGTGTGTGTGTGTGTGTGTGTGTGTGTGTGTGTGTGTGTGTGTGTGTGTGTGCTTACAGAGTGTTTATGAGTTCAATTCATCAACTGCAACTACACTCCCGGGAAATAATTTTTCCTGCCTGAAACAATAAATTAAAACGTAAATGATCTAAATAAAATGACATGATTCCCCTCTCATTCATTTCACATTTAACAAGCTAAAACACCTGACTCACCTCCAGAAAGAAAGATGTTGTTTTATCCAAAGAGAAGATGTCAGGCTCTGTCTCCGCACAGTGTCTCATGCAGTAATTGGAGTCAAATAAAGCAACAAGGTCTACTCTGTATCTGCCTTACAGAACATTGGGAATGGAAACGAATCCTCCTCCGCCACACCCTACCAAATGCAAACCAGTTTATCCAGTGATATAACTGTTATGAAAGGTTGCCATTAAATTCCTCATCATTAGACATGTGGTCAGGGAGGCAGTACCTCCTACAATAAAGTCATAACAAGAAACATGAGATGAACATACATTTAGAAAAGCGTGGTTGTGAAAACATTTTTTTAAAGGTTATTGTTGTCCTTTAAAAACATCTGAACAGATATAACTGCGGGCTAAATTTCATCAAGTATTTGAGCCTCTCTGGGGTGTCTATGGGGTGCCTCTTGACGTCTAACAGTAGTAGGGGCTAACATTATATTTATCTATTTAAATTATTTCACTGATTTCAATACAAGCCTCGAGGGAGAACAAATCAGTATTAATGGATTAATAATCCGTTTTCAGAGGATTTGTTGACGGTAAACGCAGTGAACGGCCGTGCGTAACAGCACTGCTCTCTTTCTCCCCTGCAGTGGGAAGATCTAAGATAAATAGAGACGAATATTTCCAAACTGTTTTTTTTTTCTTTGGTCAATAACTTTTCATTAATCTCACGAAATCTCTCTCTCTTTCTTTCTCTGGGGGACAGACAGTGGAATTTTCCTGTAAGTTTCTGTTTCGTCACTTGGCCCGCCCGCCCTTTAATACTGTCTAGTATCCTGGGTTGTAAGTTGACCCGCTCTGACCCTGCACTCATGTGTTAAACTTCTTCAGTTAGTGTTGGTTTGTAAGGTGTCTGCTGACAACACGCCAGCTGTCATGTTTGTGCCTGTTTACACTTTTAACCATTTCTTGAGACCAGCTGTATTTCCACACACATTTTATGTACACAGTATCGTATGTCATTTCCTGCAAAGAGACATCTGTTATCACACGTGGCATGTACTCATCAAGCTTTTGTGGTCTGAAGTGAACTCTCCAGTTCCGGGTGGAGTGGCTCGGCTTGGTGTATTTGTTATGAATATCGGTGGCTCTGTCCAGCATTGGTATTATTATGGCAATCAACGTGCGCACACACCTCTCCAAAAGCGCAAGCTCATCTTCTTTAGTGTGTATATTTTAAACACGTATTCTCCCGACAGTAGAAACGCCAAAATATATCAAAAATAATGTTTCCGTTTGAGTCTGTACTGGGTTGGATCAAGGGTTTGCCAGTACTGTGCTCCCAGGTGCCTGTAGGATGTATGATAGCCATCTCTTAAGTTCACTTAAACAGCCACTTGAAGGAGAGGAAGCAGCAGGGCCGTTCTGGCGTTCTATCTCTTGGAGGAAGCATTTTCAAAGCGGTGCAATGACGCACGCGTTATCCAGAGTGCATGCTTCAATTCAATCAAATGCCACCGGATGTAATTAGAAGTTTATACAGTTGAAAACATCATCAGTCTTCATCCAAAAACGGCACGGAGCAACTGCCTGCGCCCTCCTTTCGAACAGGTTCAGAGCCCCTGAAGCATGGTGTTTTCATTTCCAACAGAGAAAGGCTGCGATGAAGTGTTATAGAGGCAGAAACATGATTGTAACTTGTTTTGCTTAAATCTGATTGCAGTGGACTTTCTTTTGATTTTTTGACTCGATTTTCCAATCTAGGCTTAATTTGAGAGACCCAATGATAAACATGTGAGTAATTAATTTGGATCACCTGCTGATTGTAATACTATGCACAGACAGGTATTGGCATATATGTAGGGCTTTATGTGAAAACAATTAGTAGAACAGAAAATGCATTTAAAGTAATTAATTGCATTACATTGTGCAGTAGAAAGTGCTCAAACTCCATTGTTTACAATGCTGACGTGAGATGGGAAAGCACAGCACAACTAAGTACCTTTGTATAGTCACGTTTGTTCAAAAGAAACACATAATCCACACAGAAAAGGTCTATTTTTTTCATTCCAGCTCAGAAATTTACTCCTTATCTCGCATTGGTGAATTGTTCTCTCTTAAAATCAGCCAGGCTCTTGTACATCATCTGTTTGGATGCCATCAAATGTATGTATCCTTCATCATTTTCCTCTCTAGAAGAAACCACTGATCTGCTGTGACTGAACTGGTCCAAACAATAGAACGATGAATACATTTCATGATAACATGTCAAAATTGTGATTTGAAGTGTTGGAACAGTGAGGCAACATCGGGTTGGGAATGGATAATTTGTAGGTGGGGTGCGTGCCCCTTTTTTAGCTTGAGCCCCTGTCCCCCAAAATGTCTGTGCACATCCCTGCTACGCCCTGTCTATTAGATTGTGATTACTATGATTAATGATCATTGGTGCCCCCTACACACAGTGTGATGTGTTTGTATGTAGCTGTAGTTATGGGTAGAGGGGAGAGACTTGTTTGTAGTTTTTTAACTTTCCTTTAAGGAATGTGTTCTAAAACAACGCCCTTGTCTTTTCTCAAGTATAACTTCACTAGGAATAAGCTCTATTACAAGAATGATCAAAAAGGACTGAACCAAATGCTGATATCTCACGGGAGACATTCGGTTTCCAACTGTTATCGGGCAAAGAAAATGCACACCCCAATATGGCCTGCTACTGCCATCCTCTGGCCACAAACAGTATTGCAGCTTATATGCAATGCAAAGGCAGGCTGACATTGAGACCAGAGTTGCTTCAGTGGTGCACAGTGTACAATGAGGAACAACCAGAACCCCTACAAAAACTCAACATCCGGCAACAATAATTATCTAGTTTCATCCTGTACGATTACCTAACATGGGCTGCATTGTAGACCTCTTTTGACTACTAGGAACTACCTGTTGTAGATGCTGTTTGTAGTTGTGGTTTAGATGCTGTTGAGAGTTTTAGGGGTGTTTCTGATATTTTGGCTACCCACATTTAAACCCTGGGCCCCTGCAGCAAGGACTCAGTCTCAGTACATGGGTCGCCAGCTCTACCAACTGAGCTAACAAGGCACCCATAGTTGTTTGTTGTAATGTTTACCATCCGCTTTGATGGCTAGTTGGTTGTAGCCACTTGACCACTGCATGACGCGTGTGGACTGTGGTTTCATGATAATTGATGATGGATTGATGACAATAGAGTAAGAAGTAATCTAAGAAAAGTACGGTGGGAACACCAAATCAAAATCATTGCATTGCCTAAAGACTACCAATCCCTAAAACAAAACAGGAACAGGACGGGGCGGAATGAATAGTAATTCTTCCGGGAAGTCAGGCGTATTTTTAGGGACGGTAGTGAAAATCCACTCCCGTGTCCCAAGCAAAGCGGCAATATGAAGTTCTATAGAGAACATAGGAATAACTGAGAAGTTACAGATTTCATACATAAGAGTAATATTCAGCAACATGTGATTCAAGACACTAATAATGTGGCAAACATGCTAAATGCAACAACCAACTGCACATAAATAAGTTAAATAATGATAAAATATACACACTGACTGGGTCCAGGCCTTTGAATCTGCCTAATCCACCATGTTGACAACTGTAATAAGTTAACAATATCTGATATATATCTGACATCAGCCCCATTTAACCAGCACCTGCCCTAAAGAGAACTGCAGAATCATGGTAGGGGGTTGAATATTAGCTGTTACAGTGTGCCGGTATACACCATAAATGTGTAAAACATTAAACATAAGATTCAAACAGGAGATGTCTTAAATAATCAGTACTTACATAGTTTCAAACGCACGACAACAAAATATTCCAACATGGAAAGCTGTCCCCTTAACTGCATACACTGTCCACTTCCCTTGATATTCAGGAAATTCCTCATTTCCCCTAAATGAACAAAGCGTCCAGTGGAGCAGATATGCAAGCCCCACACAGAGCAACTGAGTACTTGAGAGTGGAGTACGTGAGCATGTTGAACACTTAACAGTGGAGGCATCAGTTTGACAAGAAATTATGGATGTGATTTAGAAGCTTGTAGGAGTTCTCCTTACAAGTCAAATGGAGGCCACTGTAGTAGAACAGTGCTGAATAGGCATGCCCTTAAAGTTGAGTTTACTGTATTTCTTGCGGGCAGTTGGGCTTGGGTGTTGACCATACTCGCGAGAACATATTTTGAATTGAACTGGCGGTTGACTGAACCAACACACATCTGTGCAACATGTACACAACAACACAGCACCCTGACGTGATGTCAGCCAAAAAGTATGACAAGAAGAAAATAATTAAGACCAATACTTTAAACCATATAGCGCCCCCCAAACGTATGCCAGTGTTGGGATAACGTTGCTTTGTTGATCAGGGTAGGATCATTGCGATCATTAATATGGAGAAAATAAAAAAAAATTGTTTGCCTGAAGTAAAAAATTTTGGATTTTGTGCATGAATTTAAATTTTCAAAAACACACATTTAAAGCCTTTGGGATGCTCATAAACTCACAAAACCTCAGAAACAATTCTGAGGTTGGGTAACTGGAATCTGCTGCAAACTTCAGCCATTATTGTATGAAGCACAGAGCCGTTGTAGCTCAGGAAATCGGCAGCATCCTGTTTGAGTACAGGGTTAGGCAGCAGGTTGCCGTCACCGTAGAGAATAGAAGCAACATGGAACTCTTTCAATAATAAGAGAATCAATAAAGAATCAGCCCCTCCATCACACACTCAAATATGCTCTTGCTGGTCGATCACATGTATGTTCATTAATATTATACAAAGACTGGTGAATGTGAACTTTATGTGAACTTTTGGGTCTTGTAGAACAAAATAAACCAATTACTTGGTTCACATTCTGTTGTTACTTTTACTTCCTGACAAAATGTATTTATGTTCTATATATGTTCTGCTGATTTCAGCACTGGAGCTACACTGAAGACAGAAAGATGGGAACATAATGGTAAAACACGTGTGAAATGAACATCAACTTACCCTCTTTCTTTAGGCATGGATCAGATCCTGTATGAAATCTTCTGAAATATTTTAGATTTAATAATATTTAATAATCTAATAATATGTGGTTGACTAAATCTACCAACCTCTCAGCTGCTTTAGTCTTTGCACTCTCTCATCTGGTTTTCAGAGCATTTGTCACAGTTTGCAGCACCCCCCCAGTCTTATGAAATAAGTTCACATGTGTCAGCCTCTTCTGCTGCATGTTGCTGATAAAGTGAAGTGTGAACCACGCCCAACTCTTGTGGGAAATTCCGAGTTTCAGTATAAAAACAGAATGTAGAAAAAAGAAGGCAGGGGCCAGTTGCATTTGTTCCTTGCTGTTTTACTACCAGAGATGAGTCAAGCCAGTAGTCCCGGACGTTTGGGTATGTAGCATTCAAAATAAACGCTTATAGCTCATTTGTAAAATATATTTAGAATATCTTCTTTATATAGTCATCACACCCGCCAGAAACACAGACTTATTGGTGTTATAATAAAATGGAGAATACCATTTAGTTTGCATAACAACAACATGCATGTGCTACAGGTAGTTGAGGCACTCTGAGGCTAGATCACCAGGTTCACACTTTTCCCCAGCCATTCATTTGCAAAACAATAATTGCAGGCCCTCTGCCGTAATGAACAAAAGTGACACTTAGAGAAAAAGGCACAAATGTGTGCCACAGTAAAGTTGTGGCATGTTTTTTCTTTTTGTGTGATCATGCAAGATGCAGAACAGAGGCACAGGAACTGACTGGATGCTCAAGTCAAACCTGGAGAAAGGTAACAGAAAGGCTAAATGATGTCACAAAAATACCAGCCACATGTGGAAAGATATTAAGACCCAGACCCAAATCACAGACTATTAGGGTAAAAAACATTTGCCCCATTACTTCGAAATAAATTGGGGAATTTATTTTCCACATATGGGTCAATAAATTCTTCTCCAGACTTTATGGAGTGTCTGCTGGTCGCACAGGCCTCACAGTGAGGGCAAGACTCCCCGAAGTCACTGCTCCCAGCCAGGCCACAACTAGCTGTGCTCACACTCTAGTTTTTACAGAATTTCATGCAAATACTGATAAAATATATCAGGAAAAGATACGTCCAGAATATTTTCATGCACGGGCTGCTGGCTCATTTTGGTCAGTATGTAAATGAATAGTGACTGGCACGTGCATGTCACTCCTCCATGCATCGCCCATTATATTGAACCAATGCTATATGTATATTATATTCTATGCATGCTGGCATGGCACTCCTGGTGTCTGATAAATGACACCAGGAGTGTTCATTGTTGAGCTAGTAGCAACATTCTTCTTACCTTTGGACAGAGCTCACCAAGCTGTTTCCTACCATCTCCTGTAGCTTCATATTTAATAGACCGATCTTTACATCTAGCTCTCGGCAAGATAACAAATACATATTTCACAAAATGTTTGCAGATTATACTTGAATCTTTACCGACAGTGAGCCAGCCCACAGAGAGTCCGATCAGAACCCACGGTGGTGCTCTGCTCACAGCCTGGCCCCCAACAACATGAAAACTAAAACAACACATCCACCATGACCTGATGAGGTCACCACCATGACCTCATCAGTGGAGATGAGGTGGAAAATGTCTGAAGTTTTAAGTTCCTCTGTGGTCGCATTACTTTAGATTTCACATGATCTATTAAAGGACTTGGTATATTAACTTGGCCTTCTTGCAGCAAAAGTAGTCAAGGCTCCAAGATACTAAAATATTTCAAAACAAAATGGCACTCATATTGCACAGAGCACTGAGTGTGGTCAAAACCACTCAACCAACTTCCAACATTAGAGGACATTAACAGAGCCCACAGCTTCCGGACAACCCTCAAGGGTCCAACTCTCCCCAGCAATTGCATGTTTGTTCCTCTGCCCTTTAGAAGAATACAGAATACCAGAAACAATCTCTCTCAGTCCTTGTACAGACACATACAGTTTTTGGCTCTTTTTTAATACCTGTACTGTGCAATTATACATATATATCCTTTCTTATAAACACATTGTTAAGATTACATTATACCTGTACTGTATATTCATAACCCTATATTTATAGCCTACACTGAAAAATGGAAGAAGGAGGGTTGTTCAATTTACAAGTATGCATTTTGTATATGCTACATATTTTCATTTTATATTTCATCCATAACAAAAATAAAATCATTAGAAAGCATTTCAATATTGGGGAAATTAAAACACCAAAATTCCCCCATTTTTAAAAAAAAAAAAAAAAAAAATTTTTTTTAAAAAAAAAACCCCCCCCCAGGGGGGGGGCACAGAAACGTTGAAAACTAAGGCCATTGTCCTCGCTGTGATATTTTCTATGGATTTGGGCTTCTCAGGACACATAAAGGTAATAAAACTTGTCAAATATGAGCCAGTGTTAGAAGCAGCGTGTTTATAATCAAGATTTGAAAAGGTTTGGCTTTTTATTTGCCGGTAATGTCGAGTAAATCCAAGTCAGTCTTCATGCTAACGTTTGCGGTCATTCACTGGTTGCTAATGGTAGCGGTCATGCCTGCCCTCATTGAATATCTTTATCTTTATATCTTTATCTTTATTAGTTTTTATGTCTGTTAACGTAATGTGTGCACGGCAACTAGTTTGTATGGGGAAATTCATAGAACATAGGCCTAGGTCTATTCTCTTTTCAAATTGGCACCTGTCGGAGGTATTAAACAAGTTAACGAGTGTGGGGGGATGGGTAACTCTGACATTGGCTTTGGTGAAACATGGCTGCTGTAACGAAATGGAGGAAAACCGACTAGGCGATATTAAAGTAGGTATCTTAGTATCAATTCTGCCATGCTGAGGTTCAGCAGTGTACTTTAACGTCATGTTCAGCTGTTCCCATTATGGAGGTGATTATGGTCCGTTCAAATTAACCCCTTTGGGGGAAAAAAGTAATGTTGTTAATGTTTTTTTTTTTATATACAGTCCGTGACTTTTGGGGAGCCTACTACTTAATAAGAAACACACTCGATTTTTGAGTATTTATTGATTGATTTATTTATTTTTTTGCTTTGTTTTTTCTTTCGGTAAGACATGCTTGTTCTTTCGTGCACGTCCACTGCGCACAGCTCCATAGACCTGCTTCTCCCGCAGCAACATGCTACCCGACTCTCACTCGCCTTTCCGAGTTTGGATAGACGTTGCCTCCGAGATGTAGAATGTGTATTGTAGATGAGAAACACACATTTTAGGATCACTGACTTGTATCAGAGCAGACATGGCCTGCGATTTTAAAAAAAATTTATAAGGAGGGCAATACCAATATTTGACAGTAATATTCTCAGCTGTCGTTGTTGCTAGGCTTTCAGTGTTTTCCATTAATTAACTCGTATGGGTCCGCCACAGTCTGTCACAGGGAAAAAAAAATATACCGTCTCTCATATCTCTCTGTCAGCCCCTCCTTCGCTGCACCTCTCGCGCGCGTAGGCTCACGCACTTACACACACAAACACGGGCACATGGACAGGTTGCGCTGTAATGGTGATAAACATTTAATACACCGCGATCGCACCCCGCCCCCCCCCCCACCTCGCACCCCTAGCCTCCTGAAAACCTGTTGGAAACACTGCCTTTAGTTCATTATCAACTATAGCTCTTTTTAACATTTATTTATTTTTTTCTGTGTAGATATCCTCCATCCAAGACCAATATTTGATATAAGGTATGTCTCTGGGTGCTGTGTCAAAGGCTCTGTAGTAGTGGTGAGTATTACTATTCACTTGCTTTTGTTGGTTTACTGGATGTGTTTAAACAAGAATGAATGGATTTCTCATGATTATGATGATATTATTTTCAAAAATATTGTAATGATAATTGCTGTAAATCCTACTGTCTTTAAGGGTGTAATGTTTATTTTTTTGTTGAAACTATTTTGGAGAAGTGTTTCTAATAATTAGTCTGTCAGGATTTCACAAAATAATTTAACGGCACCACAATTAAACCACATAAAATGGCTGTGATTGTAATTTTTTGTAATTTTTTCAACAATTACTAAACTATATTGCTTTAACTTTTATGATGGTAAGATTTATTGATTTCTGGATTAGACTGCATTGGTTTAACATAAGAGTGTTCCCTAATAAACTGGCAAGATTATGCATTTTTAAATTATGGTTATTTATAATATATAATTATGGTTTTAAATTATGATTTGCTCTATTTCTGTAGGATGTGTGTCAGTGAGTTGAACTTCCATTTGTTTGTCTCTCTTTCTCTAGTGAATGTGGCAGTGTAAAGGGTGTTCAGTCGCTGTGCAAAGTAGGTCTGAATTACTTCACCATTATAAACTCAAACACCCACATTTTGGACGCACCATAAATTATCCATGTACGTATTCTAAATGTCCCTGTACATTTAAGACATGGAATGCTTTAATCATCCATCAAAGTAGAGTGCATTCCACACAAGATAATCAGACACGAAAAGAGTTGTCCATTTTCAGCTGTCACTTATGTGCATGCAAAAATTTAGCTAATGAAAGGGAGTTTTTTGTTCATATCAACACACATCTGAAGAAAAATGAAAATATAGGTTGCATGTTCGTTGGCTGTAGTTTTCAAACAAGTATTTATGGAACCTTTAAGTCTCATAAGAGTCGCCGGCACACACCTCACACATTATCTGATTTTCTACCAGGTATTGTAAAAACAACTACAATAGCATCTCCACCATTAGATGATTTGTTTGCTGATAGCCAGGATGAGGAGTGTGTGTTAGAGGAAGTTTCTGATTCTTCACGAGATCAACACAATGCACTTCCAAGTGCAATTGAGCAGCAGCTTGCAGCAGCCTTACTAAAGTTGGAATATTTAGTCCACGTGCCAGGTACAGCAATTGATGATTTTTTGCAAGAACTTTACTACTTGATAAACATAGCATCAGTCACAGTATCTAGAAGTGTTGTGACAGATATCCTTAAGCATCACAAAATACAAGTTGATGACTCTGTAGTTACAGAAATCACCACAGCAGTATGCTCATCTAACCCTGTTCCAAAAGCAATTGAAAAAGGCGGCCCTCTTAGTACTTCATATCAACGTAAACAATTTTATAAGGAAAAATTCTGTGTTGTGGAACCAGTTACTTACATACTTGATCATAAAAAGAAACACACCTTTCAGTATGTCCCACTGTTGAAATCTTTGCAACAAATTTTAAATAATAAGGCCATTGTTGATAAGATAATTGAAAATCATAGAGGACAGCAGGACACTGAACTTGACCCATCTCTTGAATTCAGGTCCCCTGAAGATGGTTTGCATTTTAACGCAAACAGCTTCCTAAATGCAGAGGAGTTACGGATAACACTGCGTCTGTATGTGGATGATTTTGAGACCTGCAATCCCCTAGGCACCTCTAGGAAAAAACACAAGCTTTGTGGTGTTTACTGGATACTAGGTAACCTGCCACCAGGCTCCCACTCATCTTTATCATCTATTTATCTTGCAGTGCTTTGCAAAAGTGTTGATGTAAAAACATATGGTTATGAAACAGTCTTGGAACCCCTTCTTCAAGATATTAAAATTCTCGAGGACTATGGTGTGTATGTGCCTTTATTAGGTAAGTCTCTTAAAGGTACAGTACTGAGTATTGTGGCTGACAACCTGGGCGCGCATGGTATTGCAGGGTTCATAGAAAATTTTTCTGGTGATTACGTTTGTCGCTTTTGCACAGCAAAGAGTTGTGATTTCAGGAATCAGTGTGTTGCTACCGGTGCTTTCAGCCTTAGAACTAGAGCTGGCCATGCAGATCATGTAAAATCATCTTGTGAGAAGGGTACACATTGCTTTGGAGTTAAGAGAGAGTGCATTTTTACCAAAACTCTGTCTCATTTCCATGTTGTCTCCGGTTTTCCGCCTGATGTTGCTCATGATATATTTGAGGGCATTGTGCCTGTTGAGCTGGCCCACTGCTTGGCATTAATGATATCAAAGAAGTTATTTACATTAGATGAACTAAATAGAGCTATACTGACTTTCCCCTATAAATGGTCCGACAAAACAAACAAGCCACATATTGTACCACAAAGTTTCTTGGGTCGGAAAACTATCGGTGGCAACGCTCATGAAAACTGGAGCCTACTGAGGCTGCTCCCATTTGTGATAGGTCCCCTTGTCCCAGAAAATGAGCCAGCATGGCTTGTGTTGATGGATTTAAAAGATATTGTGCAGTTAGTTGTTGCTCCTGTGCATACAGATGAATCCATCTCATACCTTGAAAGCAAAATTGTTGAGCACAGACAGAGGTACCAAGACCTGTTCCCTGGTGTCAGACTTCTACCCAAACACCACTATGTAGAACACTACCCGCAGATGATAAGGTGTTTTGGCCCTCTAGTCACAGTTTGGACAATGAGATTTGAAGCCAAACATAGTTTCTTTAAGAACATTGTTAAACACACAAGTTGCTTTAAGAATGTACCACTGACTTTGGCTTCAAAACATCAAATGATGATTGCATTTCACCTAAACTCACCGTCTTATGGTAAATCTTGCCTAGATGTATCTACTGTCTCCACAGTTCCAGTTGATGTACTGAAGGAGGAAGTAGCTGAGGCTATAAAGCTAAAATGCCCTAGCACATCTGAAGTGCATCTTGCTAAGAATGCATCAAGCAATGGCATAGCCTACAGCAATGGCATGATAGTTGCCCATGGATCAGTAGGTGGATTACCAGAGTTTGCTGAAATTAGTCAGATGTGTGTAATAAATGAGATGTTGTTCCTCATTGTGAAAGTGCTGTGTGGGTGGTACACTGAACACTACAGAGCCTTTGAGCTAAGCTTGTCACCATCCAGAGAAGTAAAACTTGTGGCACTCAGTGAACTCACTGACCCTTATCCACTGGCCTCTTACACTGTTGGATCAAGTCATATGGTAACCTTAAAAAGGCAGATTATCATAAAGGTTGGTTAACCACCAAAATGGTGATTAATAGTAGGACTGAACAGTTAATTGCAATAAGATATTTTCAGTCCAAAGTAATTGCTCTTTTTTTACACACGTATATTTGGTGATATGGTAATGTGCATGCTGAGTTGTATGTTTTGTTATTTTGTCACAAGACATTTGTCTTTGGAGTCTGTCAATCTGCCTGCATGTGTATCATCACATCTATTTTCTCTTCACATTCAGACTGTATTTTTTTGTGCTTTGTTGCCCATGGGAGTTTCTCTGAAATCTCTTTGTATATCCATTATAGGTCATACTGTATTGCATGCACTGATTTTTGTGGGTCACATCCTAGGCTTCTCATTTGTTTCCACCTCTTTCTAGTTTTCAGGATGAACTTTAAGCTAGTACAGATGGATTTTATCAGGTAGTAGTTGGGCAAATTACAAAATGAAAGTGGGACTAGAATCAATTCTCCAAGGCCTTCTTCAAGGCCAAGTGGTAAACTGAAAATGAGAAACCTAACATCATGTTGCATCAATTAGTGTATTGACACAAGTAAAATACTTGACATAAAACAATAAGCATTAATCTTTTTTTCTTTTTGTCACTTTCCTTCTTTTTACAGACTGAGACGTAGAAGGATGAATGCCCCGACACTTCTCAAAGTCATCCTGGGTGACAACAGCAGCCAAAGGATGACTTTTCAAAATGGACTCCCAGGATCTGTTAATGAACTTGTTAGTGAGGTACAAAGACAATGTGGACTTGACTATGACTTCAGACTTCAGTTTATGGATGCACTATTTGGAAATGACTTCATGAACCTCACTTCAATGGATGAAGTACAGGATAGAGGGACAATTAGAGTGATTGCCATGACAGATTCCTCAACTCCTCAGTGTGCTAATATCCTTCCCACCTCAGCTGCCCATCACTCCCTTAATGAATCCTCATCCCTGTCCAGTGGATGTGTTGACACTGACATACTCTCTTCACCGGAGTCAGAGTCATCCGGCTCTCGGTCATCTTGGCCGAGCATCTTTCGTGTTCCTCAGTTTAGTTATGATGCCGAGTTGAAACTTGCGCTGGGCAATGCAGCTTACAGGGAAAAGGGTACATTGTTTATTCCTGATCCTAAACTGAAGTCGAACATTCTTGAGGGCCTAGTGCAAGAAATTAAGTACAAACTTTATGTTTCTGACAAAGACTTTAACACAGTTGGAGAGGCTCTAATCTCAAAGCATCCTTGCCTGACTGAGAAAGGCTCCCTCTCTGGATATGCTGGATGGAAATGCAGCTTGAAGAACAAACTGGCAATCTACCGCACTCACCTAAGAAAGCTTGGATGTCCTGAGGTGACAATAAACTCACTCAAGCACAAACCAGAGGGCAAATCAAGCCCTGCTTTTGGCATTAAAAAACCAAGAAGGTCTGAAGTGAACTACTGTCCCCCTATCCTACTGGAGAATCTGAGAAGAGTCTTGAGAGTGTGAGAATGGAGCTTCTTTCAGATGTTAAGAAGAAGAACAACAGGGAAGCAGTAAGGATGAAAATGGAAAAGACATTTGCATATAGGAGACAGGAAGTGGTTCGCGACACACCAATGATAAGAGACTTCCAGACGAGATGGCCAGCACTTTTTGAAGTAGGCGAGGTATGTGATTTATTCTCTCTCTCTCTCTCACTCACTCACTCACTCACACCTCTCTCTCACACATTACAAACTAAAATTAAATCTGTATGATTCCTATCTGTTGATTTACCTTAATTTGACAAAGTCATGTAACTTACCTGCTGGCTGCTTAGCAGACCCTCTCCCAAACTAAATCAATTGTTAATCCTTAAGTGTTCTTGGGGATATTTCCAGCCACCCTGTTGTTTATTTTTTAAGCCATTTTGGCTGTGTTGAATGAATATAGCTAAAATTTGCAAGAAAATTAAAAAAAAATAATAATTGAAATTGAAATCTCAGTACCTTAATTAAGCCTAAAATGGCAATGCTATCAAAATCCAGGCTTAAATGTTCCTAGCGCCAAAACCTGCCCCATTGAAACCCATTAAAACAACTTTTTTGATCCCACGTTTATCCTAACATAACATCTCGCACAGTATGGTAAACATACTGGCATTTAAAGGGTTAAAAACAAAAAATATATAATTAATATTTTATATGTATATTTCAGGCTGAAGTAGTTCTAAAAGACTGGCGTGTTTAAGTCGGAAAAAATATCAATATATACTATTTTTTTATAGCAGTTTATGGGAACAAGCCACGTTTTGGCTTTAGGAACATCCACAAAGTAAATAAGTTAAGAACACTTAAGGGTCACCAAGTTTCAGCCGGAAAATATTTGGAGGGTATAGATGATTTTTTTAAAAAGTATGATCATGACATAATATAACTAGAAAATAAAGCAATAAAACAAGGAACTTTTTGAATTATTCTGCTCCTGTACAAATGTTCTAATTTAATTTTAACTTACTGTTGGTCATGGTTACTTGATTGGTGTTCGTTTTTTTATTTTTATTTTTTATTAATTGCTGCCATATTGCATGTTGTCTGTAATCATTCTCATTTTCAGATAAATGCTGAATTCAAACGGATCACAACAATGCCCCTGCAGTCCAGATTTCTATCGCAATTAGATGTTCACTCCGAGAAACTGCTCAAAATGTTTAAAAACAGAGGAGGACAGATTGGCAGACGCCTAGGGGGCATCATTGCACCCATGGATGAAGTAAGTATACTCTCTGGGGGACAAACTCAAACTTACACAGACAAACTCAAGCAAAACAACTTGTGCTTCTGTTTTTCTGCCTCAGGATGATGACGTGGATCTGGGAAGAGAATGTGTCATAAAGGCACTCTGCGTTTACCTGAACGAGGACCCAGAGAATCTATTGAGAGAGTATGTGGTAAGTATTACTTAGGTTTAGTATGTTGATGTTATCTTTCATATTTTGTATAAGCTTTAAAACATCTACCCATTGTAATTACTTTACAGTCAGCTAACTTGTAAGATAATATGGTAGTGATCTTAATCTATACAAGTAGTTCCGACCAAGCAATCTGATTGTTCAACAAGACATTTAGAACGTGCTCAAATCAGCATAACAGCACGCCTGACTCAAAACTAACAATATTATTCCGCCATCTCATGTTGTTGTATCCATCTCCATGATAACCATCCATGATTCTTATTTTTATTTTTTAGAAACATTGTTACTCGTGAAAAAAAAAATCAAACTAAATCAACCTCCTGTAGAGTGTAAAAAGAATGCACACTCGCAAAACCTTTTTAAATTTGAGAGCAAATTGTCCATCAAAATGAATATATTTTGATACATTTTATTTTGTTGGTAATAGTTGTATAATCGCAATATTACCCGAGAGGGTGTACTTAAACGTCATTTGAGCATGACAGTGATGCGCTCAGGAGCAAGCGCCTCGGTCCCTACCCTCTTGGGTAATATTGCTTAAATCAAAGTGTGTGTTATGTGTGTGGTTTTCAGCCTCTATGAGCCACTTTGTGTTACTTTCTGTATGAAAGTGCCATATAAATAAAGTTTGATTTGATATCTTAATAAATTACTCAATACAGATATGCAGTATTCCCTATATGGACGTGGCATGTAGTGTAATCACACTTTGATTCTTTTTGTGTATTGTACAGGCAGCAGATGAATCCCTCCTCCAGGAATCCATTGAGGAAACCACTATGGGTATATACGTCTGGAAACACAGAGATGACAGTGAAAAACCAGAGGACATTGGCATTGTCCTCGAGTCCCAGATTGTGATGCAGGATATGGACAGTGTTCCCTTAGCTGCTGCCATGTTGTTTGGCCTAATATATTCTTTGAACTTAAACTACCCTGCTGAACTCAAGTATACCTTTGAAGTGCTGCAGAAGGTGGTCATGGAGCTTGAAGGCAATGCACTGTCCAAAAAGCCCAAGTCCTGAAGAACAGACTTTATCAGTGAACTGGCTATCCAGGCTCTCGAGCTTGATTTCTTAAGACATACATTATGTCACCTACCTCTTCCAGTTGTTGGACTTTTCTTTTGGGCGGGTAGGAGGCTTTTTTTTTTTTTTTTTTAAATGGAACTATAACATAATTTCCCCCCTTTTTTAGAGTTTGGGGTGATTTTTGTTTACTGTGAACATTGAAAAATTATAGTGGCTTGTTTACGATTACCAGTGTTCACATTATGGAACACCCTGTGGTCATGGTCAGGCTGTGTGCTATGTACCATAGAGCAAAAGGACAGGTGTGTATTCAAATGAAAATTCTCTGTCAGTGTGTTGTATGTACATAGATGAGTTTTAATGTGTGGTGACCGTAGCTTTGGCTTCAGGTTCTGCTAAATGGTGTGCACAAATCTCCCTCTGTTATCCACACGAACCTGCACACATTTCTGACTCCAGGGACTCTTCTTTGTTGAAGGAAAAAAAGGCTATCCAACTTGTTTGCTTGATTTCTTAAGACATGCATTATGTCACCATCTACCTCTTCCAGTTGTTGGACTTTTCTTTTGGGTGGGTAGGAGGCTTTTTTTTTTTTTTTTTTTTTTTTTAAATGGAACTTTAACATAATTCCCCCCCACCCCCCATTTTTAGAGTTTGGGGTGATTTTTGTTTACTGTGGACACTGGTAATTGCAAACAAGCCACTATAATTGTTTCAATGTTCACATTATGGAACATCCTGTGGTCACTGTAGCTTTGGCTTCGGGTTTTGGGTCCCCAAAAAATTTTCGGGTTGGGGGGGGGAAAAAAAAAAATATTGTTAAAAAAATAAAAAAAATAACACCAACAACCACAAAAAAAAGATGAATTAATTGGGGGGGGGGGGGGCCCCCCTTCCCCCCAATTTTAAAAAAAAAAAAAAAAAAAACCAAACCCCAAGGTTAGGGGTGGGGGGAATTTTCCTTTCAACCCCCCCCCCCTCTTGGAAAAAAAAAAAAAAAAAAAATAAAAAAAAAAAAAAAATAAAAAAAAATTAAAAAAAATTTTTCACTAAAAAAAAAAAAAAAAAAAATAAACACCAAGTTAAAAAAAAAGAAAAAGTGATTATTAATAAAAAAGGTGGGTTAGGTAAAAAAGGGAGGAAAAAAAAAAAAAAAAAAAACCCCCCCCCCAACACCCCCAACCTACCTAAAAAAAGCAAGAGGAGAAGGGGGGGGGGGGGGGAAGGAAAAAAAAAAAAAAAAAAAAAAAAAAAAAAAAAAAAAAAAAAAAAAAATAAAAAAAAAAAAAAAAAATAAAAAAAAAACAAATAAAATAAGGAAAAAAAGAAAGAAAAAAAAAAAAAAAAAAAAAAAAAAAAAAAAAAAAAAAAAAAAAAAAAAAAAAAAAAAAAAAAAAAAAAAAAAAAAAAAAAAAAAAAAAAAAAAAAAAAAAAAAAAAAAAAAAAAAAAAAAAAAAAAAAAAAAAAAAAAAAAAAAAAAAAAAAAAAAAAAAAAAAAAAAAAAAAAAAAAAAAAAAAAAAAAAAAAAAAAAAAAAAAAAAAAAAAAAAAAAAAAAAAAAAAAAAAAAAAAAAAAAAAAAAAAAAAATTAAAAAAAAAAAAAAAAAAAATTTTATATATTTCTTTTAAATTATATTGTTGTTTATATATTTTCATTTTCTATTTCATATAACAAAAATAAAATCACTAGAAAACAGAAACGGGAAAAAACCCTGTTTTTTCATATTCTGAGACCGGATGTTGTCATTTACAGGACGGTGCTGTGTAGAAGAAACAGTGGACTAGTAGACTGCGGTCAATCCAGCCGTGAGTCCGATCTCCGTGGTCAAATCAGCCGCACTTAAATTTCGAGTGTACAAGTATTCTCAGCATTATGGTAAATGCGGAGAAACAGCGTATTTACTTCCGGTTTTTTAAAATAAAGGTATTAAGACTAGTAAGCTATAATGCGAACCTACATTTAAAATTAAATATGTTACATTAAAGTGTTTCCATATTTGTACCTCCAAGTGTAAAAACATATTGCTCAATAAGTCCGGGCAATGGATGGTATATTTCACTTCTACACATCTTAGACTACAAGTATACTTAATATCAAGCATTTTTACTGCGCCAATTTGGAGAAATTTAAGAATAAAAGTCCCATATTTATACCTCCAGATTTCATATTTTCACCACGGAGATCGGACTCACGGCTGGCTTTACCGCAGTCTACTAGCCTACTGTTTCTTCTACACAGCACCGTCCTGTAAATGACAACATCCGGATATGAAAAAACAGGCCTTTTTTCCGTTTCTGTTTTCTAGTGATTTTATTTTTTGTTATATGAAATAGAAAATGAAAATTATTAATTAATAGCTCAGTTCAAAGCTGCCTCTAAAACAAAATTCCAGTCCCAAAGGGTTTCTCACTTTTGCGAATCAATGCCGGAGGTTTTGTTCTGATGACGCTTTTATTCTGAAAAGCTCCTTCCCGGAAGTGCTGTTCTTGTTATTGCAGCGGAGCAGAGCACAGCTGCTCGGAGCGGAACACTCTGTGTCTTTAGCTCTCCAATATCACTTTCTTTCCATCGTGCATTCGCCTGACAGCGTACCGCTTCCTCGCTGTCTCCCGCCGCCTCAGACGGATCCTGTAGCCGCTGACGTTGCTCCTTTTCGGCGGGTGTCTCGTGCCGTCTGTGTGCTCACGAGAGGATGGTTTTGTCAACATCACAGCAGGTCGCCCTGGCTTTCACGGCCGTGCTCTTCACGTTCGTCGTCCTGCCCAGGCTGTTTGGCGTCGGCGGCGGGTCCGGGGCGAAGGAAACTCCCAGTAGATTTGACTCTCGCTACGCCAGAAAAGGTAGGGACTGTCATTGTTGTCGCAGGGGGGGGGAACGACACACGGCGACATGGTTCCCGGGCTTGCTCCTACATAACTGGTTTTGCCTTGAGCGCACTAGTCACTCCGCTTTACGTTAGCTTCCGTTTACACTGACGACAAATTACATGTCCTCCCAGAAGACTACACTCTCAGTTTATGGGTGAAGAGAGAAGGGGTTTTGTACCATACCTCGACGTGTGATTGTGCACTGATGTTCAGTCTAGTACATCTATAAAAGGTACAACAAGCTACTTGGTGCGGTTCAGGTGATGTTGGGTCGTAAAGTCAGGAACATCCACAGCTTTCTCCCTAAGGTGTCCCCTGGGTTGGAACCCCTTTCACAAAGTCAGCTGACCTCCTGTTTGAGAGACAGAAAGCATGCTCGGTGTATTTGTACAGTTGCCTCAGAGGGTCTGTTCCTCTCTGCCAGGTGCAGGCTGTCAGCTGTGGGTCATCTGTTGCCTGATGTCAGACTTACAGAAAGGGGACAGAGTGGCCACCCCATTCAAGTTGCAGAGCAGCATTGTTTGTTTGGGTCAGCAGAAAATCAGTGTAGTTAGTTATATTGGGCTTTAGCTGGACTGGATCACACTTTTAAGGGAAAAGCATTTAGATTCAGTTCTTTTTATCAGCCACATTGACTGTGAAGTGATAATGTAATTGAAGGGGAAGGGCTGGAGCACACTTTAATTGGGATTATACACTACTGTGCCTTAATCAGAGTCATAATGGTACAGTGTTATGAGACAAACAACATATTTAGTCAATCTAGAACATGTGTATAATTGTCATTGGGTAGTTGTGGAAGTAGAAGAGGATTTTAAATCTATTGGATAATGAATGCACTGGTGGGAGTTGCCATAGTCTGTGTTCGAGTGCCACACCCAGTGCATTAAAACCCTCAGAACACACACGGTATAGCTACAAAGATAAAAGTACTACAGCAAGTGCAACAAATTCAGCACTGATTCAGTTGCACATTACTGGAAGAGGGTGGACAAGTGGATGTATTTGTTAAACATACTACAAGGAGTTTTTAACTGGTTAGGAATTCAATACTGATACCTCTATATGACCGTTATAAACAAGACCATTAGAGAGAAGATTGGCTGTTTCTATATAGTTAGTCTTAATGCCTTCCAGTGGGTAAGATTCCCCTTGCCATCAATGAAAGGAGTTAGTGGAAACGCTACTGCTTCTGTCCACAGGGGCTGCCACAATCAACACAAAATGTAAAAGAAATAGCACATGGTTTCATATTTAGTTCCACCTGAGGGTTAAGAGTAGAGAGGCACTGATCTGCCTTTTTTTTTTTTATCTCTCAGTACTGACGCTATCTCATAGATGTAACAGATTTATTTTTGGTTGGCGGTTCAATGTTTTTAAAGTGAGAGAACAAATGGTGAAAATGCTACTTAGTGTAATATGAGGTTACAGCTAATGGTCATAAGCCCTTTTTACTCCCACAATAGCCCCCTAAAGAATGCTCGCCATTACACTGGCTTTGTTTTTTTTTTTACACTGAACCAAACATCTGTCGTTCTGGAAGCAGAAGTGGTGCTTTGAGTACATATACTTTGCTTTCCACTGCAGATAGTAGTGGAAATCAATGTAGGCGGAGCTGATCATCATAGCGACGCTATTCCAGCAGCCAGCAGCAACAGCAGCTTTACTTTTGGTCTTGAGAAGCTGCAGCCTTTATTCCCTTACACACTGTAACCTACATTGTACATCTACTGCTAAACTCACAACTACACTGCTCACTTATCTCCTGCACAGCTCGCGTTCACCGACACTCTCTGCTGCTCCCTCTCTGCTCAAACACTACATCCTAAGTCACTCGCGTCAGTAGCTGTATCTTGGTACGGTCACACATACGCGAATGCAGGAAAGTGAGCATCAATACAGGAATCCTTTTCAGTCATTACTTGTCCTCAATCTAATTTTGTTTTTAAAAAATCGTAAGAAAATCATGTCGTGAACCCAGTATCCTGAATTGTATCAAATTGTGAGTTGAGAGTCCTCCTCGGGATACCTCAGTCTGGCTTAATTTTTCACAGAAATCTCACCATCTGTCCCCTGTCTGTTTGTCCTCATGATATATTCGTAGCAGCGGGCCCGGGCCCGGGTGCAGTGAGAGGTCAGCCCATCAACCTGAACGCCCCCGGCTCACCTCAGACCCCTGAGAACATGCAGCAGATGAAGAAGCTGATGGAGCAAGAGCTGAAGGGCGACAAGTTCAAATCCAACAGCAACAAGGGCTACGTGTTCACACTGATGCCTCTCTACGCCATCGGAGTTGGAGTGTTTGCTGCCTACAAGTTTTTGAAGGTGAATAAAGATACCTGCAACACCAGATTACATGGAGAGAATTTTCTTTGAAAAGTGATCAGTATGGGCAACATCGCTTTGTTCTTTCCAACTCACAGATCAAGTCTGCAGATGACCAAGCACAAAAGGACAAATTTGCAAAAGGGGCCAAAAAGTCAGTGGAGGCAGGTGTGTGTCGCATGCACTGCGGTTTGTTTGCATATCTGTGTGTTTCTTGGTCAAACATATATTTGGTTACCGTGAGTAATTCAGATAGGACTATATTATTCCCTGTGTTTATTTTTGTGCAGAGAACCAGTTGAACGAGCTGGAACAAAGGCTGGCGCAGACGGAGAGGATGCTCAATTCCATCCTCACCCAGCTGGACCCGATCACTAACTGGTGAGAGACAATCGCTGTCAGTGTGCACGTGCAGTGATCCTCCCAGGCCCATGTTTCAAATGCCGTAAATAATAAAACTGAATCTAGGTTTGAACTTGGTTTGTCAAAGAGTTTTCAGATAGGATCATTCTGATCCAGATAGCACAAGATCAGGGTTGTATTTAGATTTGCAGCCTTTAGATAGGCCTCCATCTGTTGGTCAAATCAAACAGCAGGTGTGAAAATGCTGGTCAGTTTAAATTGTTTAAAAAAGTTTTTATCAGTTTAGTTTTACTGTAATATGGGAGTATATGTCGGTGGCGAGAGATTCAGAATAGGTATTACAGTACAAACACATTGACTCACAGTATGTAGTTATTCCAGTCTCAATAAACATATGCACCAATGCCTCCTCAGGCTTTTTGTGTTGACAGATTTGACCAAAGAGACTTAAACTAAAAACTTTTTGTTTATATTTCTAATTTTTGTAAGTACACAATGTCACCAGCTAGTTTTAATTTGTTTCTAAAGTTTATTTTTAATTTTTATTACCGTTAAGTCAAATGTTTTTTCATGCCTATTTTTTTTTTTTTTGTTTAGTTTTAGTTAACTACAAGGACCTTTTGTCCCTACCATCGACGCTCCTCTGAGGTAAATTTGTTTTCATCTTCATGTAATTTTCACCTCTCATTTGTCTTCAGTGTGAAGTCTGTGGCCCAGGAGCAGAAGAATGAGATCATGTCTCAACTCCAGACCATCCGGTACCTGATGAAGAAGAGAGGAATGGACTGTCCGCCCCTGAACATCAACGGTGGGCTGATTGAATGTCTTTGACTGTGTTCACACTGCACGATATTCCAGTTTTTACTCAAATCCCATTTTAGGAATTACTTTTCACACTGTTGGTCTCAGTGAGCTCAGGCATCACTAACCTGTAGTAGCATACACGCATACAGTACAGAATGCTATGATGGTGCATTTTTTTAATAAAAAACCACAAGGGCAAACTGCAAGCTGGATATTAAGAGATTCAGTTTTGCAGTCACAGCTGGCAAACTGTGTTGGTGTGGTACCAATGTTGCGTGTGTTGTAGTGACCACAATTTGAAATTCAACTTGAGAAGCCACATTGATTGTGCTCTTTTGAATGTGGTTGAAGTGTAATTTGCAAAAAGATGAGTGTATGAACCAGAGGAATCTGCCAAACTCATGATGTTTCCTTTGCTCTGGCGGATGCATCTGGCCATAGAGTGCTGCAAGAATGAAACCCAGAACTGAGTTAGCAATTTCATACTTCTGGTTTGATGCCTAAGATAGGGACTGTGGTTAACACAAATAATTTCCAGTTTTGTTCCAATATACAAACTATGTCAGAAAATACCCGATCTGGGAACTTTGAAGCTCGTCTTACAGAAGTTGGTGACTTTAAGCACCAGCACGCCAAACACAGAGACTAATCTACTCACTAGTCCGCTGCAGCCTTGTCTACTCACGCTCTTGCACATGTTTGCTCGGACTGGTTGTTAACACCTGTTGCAAATTGAAAATTGACTGAGAGGTTCCAAACTAATATGCATTTGTGATGCTTGATACTTTTGTGACAATATGATAGGGATGGTTATTGATACTTCCAAAACACATTTCACTCAGGATTGTATACAGCCAGACTGATTGTAGGTTTTGGAAGCAGATACAGTAAAAAAAAAAATCAGTCAAGCATCCCATAATATTGTTTTTTAAGAATTGCAACCTAAATAGGCACTATGCTGGACATTTCACACCTGAAATATACAGTACAGACGGTACACACTATGTGAAGTTACTAAGTTACTGCAAATCATGCTTGGCATTTCTGTGCAGCTGTTTCTTGTCACTTATCAGGCGACATACCAATGCCTTTGATGAACTAAAATCTTTTCAACATACTCTCACTTCTTGCACATAGCTCGTCTAACTACAGGAAAAGTGGATGCTGACTGAGGCTTGCTCAACTGTTATTGAACCACAGAGCAAAAAGGGCCAGGGCTTAGGAAGTGTTTATTTGTTTGTGTTCTGCTTTTCTTTGAGACTTTACTGTATGTAAAAACTAACTTTTAATAGAACACTTAGGCGTGTAGCTTTACTACTGATTAACCGTCAAATATGCCATTCACTCAATAATCATGTGTTTTGTGACTTTCAGAGGCATCCTGCGGGCGTAATCTGGACGACCTCATTGAGTCACTCGGAGCCAACGACACCTCTGCAGTGGAAGCTTCTCTGTTGGACAAGTTGAGCTCTGCGGGAACAGCAGAGGCTTCTGAAAAGGTCTATCAAAAGAGTTTGGAAGCTAAAGTTGAAGCTGCAACCGAAGGTGAAGAGATGAAGGAGCTCATACCGGAGGAATCTGAAGGGGAAGCAGAGCAAGAAGGGAATGTGGAGGAGGATGATAAAGAGGAGGAGGAGGAGGAGGAGGAGGAGGAGGAGGAGGAGGAGGAGGAGGAAGAAGGACTGGAGGACTCTGAGCTCATGCCTTCACTAGAGGACTCATGTGAGACAAACATTGAGGAGGTCGGAGCGGAGCAGAGGGCGTCAGGCCTCAGACGACGCAACAGGCCTGAATGAACTCACTGCAGGACTTCTGCACTGTACAGAAATGAATTAATATGAATATTTATTACCTGAAAGGCTTTCATTCCAAAAGGCTGTGTGCATATTCATCCAAAACATATACATTGCATTCATAAGAACCAATTACCCCATAAGGAAAGAAACAGTAAACACATAGGGCTCTGTTTTCCTGCTGTTATTGCTCGTATAGGTGCAGTGTGCTGTGTGCAAAAGGTGTTTGGGGATTATTAATCATCCTCTCAGTCAGTCACATTACTTGTCTCATAAAATTTTAACAGCTGTGCCAATCACAGTGGTGTGTGACAAAAACACAGATGAGAGGATCCAGAAACTTCCTATCTCAAAGATAAGATTCCTTATTGATAAGGTTAGTTAGGATTTGCTTCTGCAATACCAAATTCATCCTGTCTTAAAATAAGCAAATGCACAATAATAGAGCAGCTGTACGGATTACACAAGTTAGCCAACACTACCCTTTGGAAAAGTGAACGCTAGAACAGCTTAACAGTTATCCTAAAGTTAGGAATGTTTATTTAGGATTGTGGGAAGTTAGGAATGTTTATTTAAGAATGTGGGAAGTTAGGATGTTTATGTAATTCACTTTTGCTATCTTAAGTCAGGACAGGAACGTTGACTTTGGAACAGTTTGGAACAGCATAACAGCTTTTTTCCTAAATAAGGTCCTCACCCTGGTAACCGTGGTTCCCAAAAGTTAAGAAAAGAGGTTTCTGTAATATAAAATTCTGTCCCTCCCCTTATTTTCATCCCTAACTGAACATCCCCCACAGATCTGTATACAGAAACATGTGCATGATTGTACATTCTCACCACACACTGTGTTTTGATATGTGTGGGGAAGGTTGTTTGTGCATACATATTGTTTATGCATCTTGCCCCAGGTCCTCAGACATCCATTCTCAGTGCTTTGTCAAAAAAAAACAAACCCCACCCTCACTTTTGGACCACACGCACTGCACTGGGCACAACAACACAGAAGAGACGTAGGAACCACAGGGTAGGGCTACTTACTGTAGTCTTTGTGTTGAATTGAAAATATAGCCCACAATGTCCTTTACTTATCTGTTGTCACTTATTATCACATTTTTAAACTTGCCTGATTTTGGAATGGAATTTCTACATTATTCTATATATAGTTTTTGTTTTACTAGCTCTGTGCTCGAATGCTGAATCCAAACATTTAAGGTGTACAATCTACACTGAAGGAGGAAGTGGTCAGTGTCACCTGTTGCTGCTTCGTAGCCTTTCCCATTCCTTTCTTATGGGGGACAACAGATGTAACTAATAATAACAAACATGGCTGCATTCCATTCAAGTGTTGCTGTCCTGGGGTCCTGGTACCCTGCATACTGGCTTACTGACATGTCTTACTGGGACAATTGAATGGAACAAACCCATTGTTAATATTAGTTCCACCAGTGCTTTTCCTGCTATGACGAGAATCTGCAATGAAAAGAGTCTTTTGACGTGATTATTCCACTATGATAAATGCCACAGGTGTGTTAGTGTAGAGAAAATGTGCTGTCATTGTTTTCACTGTCTGAACTCTGTGCCACCCTTTAATGCCACCCTCTACCCCTGCTAGGTATGAGAAAATTGCTGAGATGAATGATTTCATGACAAAACCCATAGAAATCTTGCTGTAATGTTACTTTCTTATTTTATTAACACATACTAATTCATTTTTATCACAAAGGGATTGACACTAATGTTGCTGGATGTGACTGCAGAATATTATACACGTACACTAGAAGAGTGAACCCGGGGTTGTGGCATGTTTCTACATCAAAACGTAACTGCATGATTTTATTTTTCATGATTTTGATGATTCTTTGCCTGCACATTGTGACTGCATGATGTTTTTATTTATTTATTCGAGAGGAAAATGACAATCATTTGATCAAGCAGAAACACATGGACTGACATCTCTCTTTCCACTGTTGTGTTTTAGTCCAGCATTATTTTGCATGCTTCCATGTTTGTTGGATACCAGTATCGTAGAGAGGAATCACTTTGCCTTATATTTCAATAATTGTATGAAGTTGTGATTTGATATCCTTGTGAGAGGTCACTGTGAGGAGGCTTTCTGGTTGTTTCCATGTTTTCTGTTGTTTGTTGACATCAAGTTACTATAACGGTACTCTAACTCTAAATACAACAACCTAATTCCTGAGTTTTTAAAAAAATAAAAAAACACTCTTGCACCAGAGTTACATCAGACATTAATCGCAGTATGTATGATCAGTTTTACATTATATGTCCCTGCCTGTTACAGATTAGCACACAGTCATTTCATTTAACTGTGCAGTGTATAATAGTAGCTCAAATGTTGATGTAAAATGTGATAAAAAATCAACATAGATAGTAGTGATTATCATTTTTGCCTAAATGAGATGCCCCAGTTATATAGAATTTGTCATAATAGATCAAAGTATGAATTCTTCTTATTGTGAAGTCCAAAAATCATTGCCTTATCAGTGAGTAGATATTTGAGCTTTGCACACTGCAGGATGTCTGGGTCGCCTTCATATTTTCCTATGTTCCCACACACAAGTTTTACATGTAATGTGTTATTGCCACACCTTGAGAACCACAAATATTTGCCTTAATTTATTTTGTAAATGTTTTGTATGTTCTTCCCATTTATGCATAGTTCCATTTCTGTATTGAGTGTTGTGTTTGATGTGGGGATGAGTGAGGGAACTCAGCTCGCCTTAGTAGAAAATAAAGCGACTAACAAAGTGACACTGTTGCTCTGCATGACTTTGGAACAGGTATGGTGTATTGTGCGATTGTCGCCTTCCACCAGCTTCACCCAGTTTGAATGTTATAGCAGTAGCTGCATTTCCTCTTATATGTGGTAGTTTTCATCATATTCTGCCCTTGGATAAAAAACAACAGATTTTAGCAAAGCATGTCTCATGCAGTGGTTTGACTTTGGCAAACTAGAGCCAATCAAAATGTGGGACATTGTCTCAGTATGTGGGACAATTGATAAAAATGCTGTGCAGTCTCATGGTTGTCCCGCCTTTGTATGTTCAACACCAGTCAAGCACAGTCCTGAGAAGAGGTTGAATCAGGCAAAGTAAGTGAAAACACCTTGTAAGGGTAAAACGAGGGTGTGTGGGGCCTTAAAAAGACTGTATGTTTGTAATGCTGCTTTTATCTGGCCTGGTGTATGTTGTCTAATTCTATTATCAATAACTGTCACTATACTCCATCTGGATAGTGTTACACCTCTTGTTTGCATCTGCAGATCCACAGTCAGCTACAGTGTGTGAGCCCTCCACTGGATTCAAGATGAAGGAAGTGTTGATGCTCCCTTTGTATCCTGCAGATGGCGCCACAGGAACACAGTTACAACAAAGGCAGTCAGGTAAAAGAGCTCTAACGCTACACTGGAGGCTAGGGCATATCATTACATATCCATATATCAATTTATTAAATACTCAGTTTTCAAATGACCTTTAAATTGAAAATAAGAAATAAATGGATTTATTGAAGGATTGTGTAGAAATCATAAAAATAATGTGCAATTAACATCAAACTATAGAACAAGCTCCCCTCCGTATAAATTCCAACACACTGTAACTATTTTTGAGAACTTGAGAAAGTATCCTGGTGAAATAAACCACCCCCTCTTGTCAAAACTTATAATTAGACATACAGAGTTTATTAATGGCTTCCTCTCATGCAGCAGAAGAAAAAGATCTGGGATTCATTGCAAATTAGCTTGGCTCTCTCAATTAGGAAAGCAACATTTAATCAGCTCAATTTTCTTCCACTGGGATTTCTTTCTAATTCCATCTAAGGGCCTGTGGTTAGCAGGATAATGTGTTGTTTTATTGTACACCGTGGTTGTGAATGGAGCTGAAAGTGTTTGCAGCTGGGACTGCGTGAGTTGCTAGAAAAAAACCCAACTAATTCCCTCCACCACTCCCTTCAGGGCTACACTGGACTTTTAATCACACCAGAAAATATCCTCAAGGGTGTTAAAGTGTTTTTATGTGGAAGGACTGAAATGTTTAAAGGGTGCTTAGCCATGCTTTATATGCTTATTGTCACAGTTTACATGCTCTTTGATCAATCTGACGACTTGGTTGTAATTGTTCACTGCAGTAATTGCCTCTGTGATGGAGCGCTTTATTCCCCAAATGTTCTTGGTTATCTTGTCCTAATCAGGGCAATGTAAATGTAAGTGGTGGGGACTAAAGGAGGGAAATTGGAGAAGAGTTGTGTAACTTGTTTAATTTTGATTAGTAAAACGTCGTTTTAATGTCGCAAAAACGTTTCTGACTGCTATTAGCCCTATGGGGCAATATCTTTTGGAAGTGGGTTCCCATTTTCTTTGTATCTAGAGTATATTCCACTGGTTGACACTGGCAGTGATGTGTGCCAAGAAAAGTCAAAACGCATGAGCAAAAGGAAGAAGAGTGCTAACTAGCAAGAAGATGACATACTTTAATAATTCCTCTACGGGAAATCATTGACAGTATATAAGTAGTGGACAGAGCTTCCAGGTCACTGAAGTCAATAAGGTGTCTTAAACCTTGTTTCTAATAACCAACAGGGGGCAGCTCTATGGGCAGCAAAAAGGAAGTCTGATAGTATTCAGTATTCAGTCTTATGGAGAAATGACCCTACTTCCACTTGAGTAACTTAACTTATGAGTTTAGATTCAATTGCTAGTTTCAAGTCTTAAATAGACAGTAAAGTAGGGTATATTAGCTTGGCCATCTTGTGATTGACATTCTCAGTGAGTCCATCCAGTGCAACCATTGACAGTATAGACAAAGGACAGAGTTCTGGGTCTGTATAGTGAAGCCAATGCTGAAGTGTCTTAAAACCTGCATTGTATGTAAAGGCCAGCAGGGGGCGGCTCCATTGGACTGCAATATCACACCGATCCCATTGACTCTAATGGAGAATGAACCGACTCCTCACTTGATTTATGAGCTCAGTAAACAGTTTCCTAATAAGTTTCTGGTCTCAATCTCTAGTTCCAGTCTTCTTCCATATAGCATGATGTTCATTTAGTAAAGTATGGTCCCATTTATAGTAAAATAAAAAACAACCCTAAAACAGCATATACTTTGAATGTATACTTTGTGATTAATAAGTCATTCTCAGGGAGTCTGTCCAGCTTCACGCACTAAACTACTGACACTAATCAAACTGTCAAACTAGGCAGTACGAAGCGAGATTCTGTTACTGCGTTGATTATTTCTCACTTAAAATCCGTTCAGAAACATGTTTTAGTGTACTGTTTAGCTGTAATACGAGATTGTGTATGCCATTGTTTCCTGCTACGAATGAGTCGAAACTGTGCAGCCAATGAGAGCAGCTCAACTCGCAGTACGTCACCTCCACTGGTTCCGTCTAACTGTTATGCCGACGGCCAAAAGGCTGAACTCGATGTTTCAAAGTGAGACTGCACAAAGCAATGGTTTACATTTTGGAGAAATTCATTCTCTTCACTCTGTTACTGCCACTCCAAGCATACATATTAACATATTCAAATTATGATACTTGAAATTTTGATGAAATCAAATCCAGTGTTAGATGCTGCTTTAGGTGGACATTCTTTTAGCAATAGCCATTCGATGTATAATACATTTTGTATTTGGTAGTTTTCACCATTGATGCGTGTAATGCATGTAATCATTTTATCTCATTACTATCAGCCTCACTGTTTGTCGTTCTCTGTCCTTCAGTTAAATCAAAGCTGTATTAGGCTACTGCTAATGCTAACCAACATGTCCTACTGCTCCTGCTTCACATTAAAAGCATGATGAGAAAATAGTAGTGATGGAAATGATCGGTTAATTTTCTTACTTGTCAGAAAGATGTCAGTATTTCCTCATATGACCTCAAAAGGAACTAAGACAGTACACAGGGCTCAGTGGGCCTTTGTATGGTCCCATGTTGCGCTCTTACTGTGATAGAAATAAGACCTCAACATGTAAGCATTTAATTTTCTTGTCTTTATTTGAAGGGGCATTTTGAAATAGCAGAGTTTATATTTTAGGTTTCAAACAAAGAACTGTCCTTTTGCTCTCTGGATGTCTTCAAAGTCAGCAGGATTGTGTTGTCAGACCTCTGGGAGGGAGGCAGAGGTATTGTGCTTCATCAGATATAAACCCAGCAGACAGTCTGTGCAGGACGGTACAGAAAGTTCAGACTGAAAGGCCAGAAAACTCTCCCTGCCTCTGTCTGACAAGGTCACTGCTCTGTAGTTCAGTGAAAAGAATACATTTCAATAGTATTAATCATCATCCAATTATTTCTCTGAAACTCAAACTAGATACAATCATTTACTCGTTGTCTTTATTCTATTGGCCAGAATTTTTTTTGTCCCGTTGCCTTTGCATTTTCTGTATCAATTCCAGCTTCTAATAATGAATATGAAGAATTCTGTTCTCTTTGTGGCCTAAATTAGATTATTCCTTTATCAAGCATCATTTTTCCTATAATATGGGTTGAAATAAGACATTGGAACTGGCTTTTCTTTTCTCAAAGTCCTCTACTTAGAAAACATTGAACATAATCATATCATACCCTATTCTTGCATTTCTGATTGATGTTATTGTGAACCTGGACTGAAACCAGCCAAGGCTGCCTGTCTAGCCTTCGGCCCCCCCAGGGACTGATCCCTGGCTCTACTTGGGGAAAATGGACTGGCCAAGGACCTTGGCTTTCCAATAGACTTTCTTTTTTTTTTACTCTCCAGTTCCCGATAAAGATCAGCAATCTGGCTGCTCTATTTTTAGTGAAGATATTACAGGGAGGGAGAAGGGGGGGGGGGACTCTGAATGCTATTTGCTTCCTGGATCGGTCAGCGCAAGAATGGCTGTTTATAGGCAAGGACCGTCTTGACCCACTATAGTCCCAAATACTTTGTCTTCTGTGATGAATGGCCTCATTAGTAAAACATTAAAAGGCCTCAACACCCCAATTTCAAAATTCACCAGCTGGTTTATTTTAAATTGAAATGGGAAGCAGCAGTGAGAAAATGAGTAATGTCACCACAGTAGATGTTCTTCAAAAAGTTCATGTACTGTATGAACTAAATTGACCTCTTGGTCGGTTGACCCTGACACTACACTGGAAATGTAATTGATGTAGAATGGTTTATTTTCTTAAGGGACTCCACAGCAGGTCCACCGGGTGCAGTGACAATCATACTACTCCACTCGCTGGTACACTCCAGTTAAAGCCAAATCCACTTACAACTAAGAGGGCACCTGGGGAGTGCAGAGAGTGTTGTTTCTGCACTCATGTTTCAGGTGGCTGTTATGTTTTCTTGTATGTTAAGTCACAGCATATCATTCTCTCTCGCAACAAATTCAGTTCATTTTGGCATAACACCAACACCAGTGTTACAATTGACTTATCTCGCAATGTTAACAAAAGTGAGAAATAATTTGTCCCATGCTTCTCCCTTCCCTATATCTAACTTTCAATACTGTATATTATAAATACTGGTGGCATAGAAACCCCAAACTGTCAATTCACTTTATGAGATTATTACTCATAATGTTCTGTAACATTATAATTGACCACAGATGGTACCTTCTCTGTGTCTGTAGAAATACAGCCTGTTTGACTGCATGCAATAGATTGAGTCAATCAAGTATGAAGGCTGGACTCAAGATTATTGCTGGTCATATGAACAAACAGGGTTTGTGGTCGGATGAAACATTGATGGAGCCACAGCAGTTGCTGCTTCTTTCCATTGTGTTCCATTTTAGCTTAATGGAACCTGAGTAAATAAACCCTTACCCTAAAACCGCTTGTCCTGCTTCACCAACTTACCTTCTCCCCTCCCCCTACAGTAGCTTGCAATTGATACATTTTCACAACAGAAACTAGCAAAGTAGTGCAATAGGATAAACAAGTATTGGCTTCTCAAAAGTTGAAACAATCTCTTAGATGAGGACACATCAGTATACAACCTTTAAAGTGTAATCACAGCCTTCAATTCTGCTAGCTCCCTCCCTCTCAGCAAATTAATAAAAAAGCACCAGAGACCTGCAAAGGACATTGTCTTTAGGGGGCGTGGTGTCGACACCAACCAGATTCACAGACTGAGGCTGGAGCTGAAGCTGGATCTCACGTACTACATCTACATTCCAAATCTCTATGTTGGCAATATGGGTGAACAGCTGTCACTATAAATGGGAATCTCCTCTGTCTCTGTCACTAGTGTGAGGCAATTAATGGATGGACAAATGAATTTACTTTATTCCAATTTGGACTGTAGACCAGTTCCCTCTGCCAGTTTAGGCCCAATTTATTCAGAAGAGCTATTAAAATTTTGACCAAGATATGTCAGCATAACTTACTGAAATAAATGTAATTCATACTGAAATAAAATTATAATTTAAAAAAACTGTAACAAAAAACTTAATTTATTGTTTATTTCCATTTTTAAATCCAGAAAAATATATTTTTCTCAGCATTTGATCAAGACAAGTAATGAGTAATAAGGTTACTCAGAGGTTGCAGTTTTACAAACCAGCCTTACATCAGGGAATAATGATGCATGTAATTATAGGTGAGCTGCCTGCCGTGTCTCCTCGTTGATTGAGCTGTGCTTGGATTCCCTAAAGATGTCACTTTTTCCTCCTCGTACGCTGTGGTGAGTGGAGACTGTCAGATGAAGGGCCTTATGGTAGACAGCTGCGTCCCTGCTCTTATCCACAGAACCTTTCAGTTTCAAGTGCGCAGAGGTTTCTTAGAATCTCTCTCTTTCTCATAACAACTTTTGGGTTCCCTTCCACAACCAGTTCAACGAAGCTCTAGCTTAACATGTTCATGTTCATCTGCGTATTTATGACGCTTAATCACCTCTTCATTCAGACAGGAATGCAGTAAGTAACATTCTGAATGGCTCTATATTGTCGCACTTGCATAGATCTTTTTTGGGGGCTTAATTGGGGACCCAATGTCAAACTTCCCACGTGGCAGTTTGCAAAACAAATTATGTTTTTTTATTATTCCACTTGATATTAGGCCTACATTGTGCATACTCTCAAATATATTTTGTTAACTCAAGTATTGTTACTGTTAATGAAACATTGCATTAGTTCAGTCGGAGCACAGAAAACTCACTTTCATCAGCTGCTTCCTTCTAACTTCACCATCTGTGACTCCTTCTTCACCTGCTTGGCAACCAGCTGACTTGTATCATTAAAGATCCTGTGATTTAGTGGCACCTAGTGGTGTAATTGCAGATTGCGACTGCTTCACCCTCCGTTTACAAGCGCGAAGGAGAAACGATGTTGGTCCGAAATGCGCAAAAAACACCAACACCCCCGTCTACAGCCAGTGTTTGGTTTGTCTGTTCTGGGCTACTGTAAAAAACATGGTGGTTCCACATGGTGGACTCTGTAGTAGGCGACCCACGGCCCATTCCAAGGTAACAAAAACACAACAACTCCTACGTTCAGGTGATTATACACTGATGAAAATATGCTTGTGAATATTATATTCCATAAAAGATCCTCCTAAATGTTACACACTGGACCTTTTCAAATCCTATTCATGCAGGTGCAGCGAGGCCTTTATAACCGGACACATTTCACCTTTACTATGCTGATAGCTTCATGCCAGCTCCATGTGACAGCTCCCTCCACCACCTCAGTCTCCTCCTCTTATGTTTAGTTTTGTTGTTTTTGTTAGATTTAATGTTTGTTCATGTATCCATTATTGTTTTGAGACACATATAGAGTGAAGAGCCAAAGCACTGTTACTGTCTCTAACTATAGAGTACTAATTATTAACATTAATATTGTTACTTTTGACCCTACCTCTTGTACAGTTAATAATTACTATAATTATAACTAATTATTTGTGTTATCAATTACTCTGTCACTTATTTTCACCCTTAATTAATTAATCATTATGTCAATAAAATAATAAAAACAAACACTTTTCCAAATCTTGAGCTGACATATTCACATTGCTTGTTTTGTCCCAAACCCTGAAGATATTTAGAATGAGATAACTGGCACATTCACACAAGTTGGAACCAGTCTGTTTTGGGCATTTTTGCTTGAAAAATACCCCAAAAACTGTATTGATTCTCAAAATAATTGATGGACAAATCAACTAGTTTCAGCTCTATTCCACCACCACCGGGACTGTTGCCCTATAAAGTCAGAGGGTCATATTTCACATGTACCTAGTGTCAGGATTACAAGCTCATTCAGCAGCTAGATGTTGCAACAGAAGGGATTAAACTAGTCTTAGCCATGTGCTGATTGTTTATACATGCATGTGGAAAGTGGATGTTAAGGATCTAAAGACAAGGCAGTGCCTTATTCTGTGAAGCTCAGAGGAAAAAGTTCCTCTCCTCTTGAACACACATGTAGAATCCCATAGGCCTGGATCAGAATAAATGAATCCATTTAGACCTGTAATGCCAGGTAGTAATCATAACCCACTGGAATCATTTAAGGATAAAAACAAAGGATGCTATAAGATACTTAAAATGTCTTAAAATGACTTGGTGAGGGAGGAAAGGCTTAAATCACAGTTATTGTTGGTATCCTTGTCAGTCAGTTGAGAGTTTATCATCTGTAAAATGAGCACTGTTTTCGGTCCTATTATTTCTCAGCCCCCAGAATCAGTTTTCTGATTGGTTGTTGCAATTTAACTGAGGCAGCTTAAAGGAGAAAAACCCTGTCTCAGGATGCAACAGTCCCCTCTGGTTTGTGAGAACACCGGAGATGAGCGCTGATTCATTTTCCCCGAAGCCAACTTCTGATTTTATAAAACAAAGAAACAACAACATTTGAGTGTAACTACAAAGGTGTGTACTGGATGCCTGTTCCCAAGGAGTGACGAGTAAAGAGCGGGCATTACTTTTTTTGAAAGGAACGTTACATATTCTTGAGTAACGAGTCCGACGCTGACGAGCGGTGGTGCGTCTTGGAGAGGGCAGGGACGCCGGAGACGCGCAACGGCAGCAGCAGCGCAGTCTGTTTGGAGCCACCGGTTGAGATCATTCAACACTCCGAGCGCTGACTGTCTGAGCGGATTGTGGGATACAAATCGACGACTTCCCCTTGCCCAGAAACTCCCTTAACAAACGATGGACATCCTCCTCGGCCCCCTAAATAGCCACGAAAGCGTCGGATGAGTGAAATCGGAGATGCTGCGCACCACGGCCAAAATCCTGGAGCTTTTCTGAACAGGACTGTGGGTGTGTGCGCGTCGGGCTCGCCGTTACCTCCGGACTGCACTCGCCAACTTCCCCCGCTTTCCATCAAGTCATGTCTGATACAGAGCGATGGGCAAGTTTGACGACAACGAGAGGATAATCCTCAACGTCGGGGGCACCAGACACGAAACCTACAAAACCACCCTGAAGACCCTGCCGGGGACGCGACTGGCCCTGCTCGCCTCCGACTCGGACATCGACTCGGTGCTGGATCAGCTGCAACAAGTCCCCGGCTTCATCGAGTACAACGCGCGGACCAACGAGTACTTCTTCGACCGCCACCCGGGCGTCTTCGCCTACGTGCTCAACTACTACCGCACCGGGAAACTCCACTGCCCGGCGGATGTGTGCGGACCGCTGTTCGAGGAGGAGCTCTCCTTCTGGGGCATCGATGAGACGGACGTGGAGCCCTGCTGCTGGATGACATACCGGCAGCACCGGGACGCGGAGGAGGCTCTGGACGTGTTCGAGCTCAACGTGGACAACGGGGATGAGGACGACGAGATAGGGAAGAGGCTCGGCATTGAGGATGTGGCTGCCGACGGTAATGTCAGCCTGTGGAGGAAGTGGCAGCCGGTGATCTGGAATCTATTCGAGGATCCCTACTCCTCCAGGGCTGCGAGGGTAAGGGCGCACCGCTGCGTCTGGGGCTCTCCAAACACACACAATAACACTTCACACCTCACTCCCCAGCTGCTTCTCATTCACAGAAACACACCCAACAACATGCCCATTAAACAAGTGTTTTAACCCAACATTTCCCCGAAAGAGTACAGAAAGTCATTTAGAAGTTGATATAAAGTCTCAGAAACTTGCTTTCCTCTAAAAAGGATCTGTTCCGCAGTGTGTGAGATCATTTCTTTCCAACCTCTCACTTAGTTTGAATATAAATTGACATATATATATATTTATATTTCTCTACTAAAGCAGTCTGCTTTATTTTGACCTATTTCCAGAAAGTGACACTGATTTGGGAACAGGTGAAATGATCAGTCTGTTTGTTATAAGCAAACAAGGTGTTAACACAGGATGGATATTCTTAGCGGCAGTGTATTTTAGATGTGTAGGCTTGTGCCAAACAGAGGCTATAGCCTACATTTGTTGCACTCTGATGCTGTTTATTTCAGCCATGCATCCTATATCTGTGTTACTCCGTTGTTCCTGTTGCAAGGGTTTTGTTTTTTGGGTTACAGCTCTAGAAATGTCATTTCAACACTCACAGCGTGTTAGTTACCCGTTTAGATCTCATTCAGTGCTCCTTTGTGCTCCAAAGTGCCTCCCAGAAATTTCTGAGAAAAACAAAGGAAATGTGTGGGACTTTTATCTTTTCCAAAATTAGTGCTGTGCCTCATGCTGGGAATAGAAGAGATATAAACTTAGAGGCCACATGTGGCGTCTTTGTCATTCCTTTTTGATCATCATTAGTGTTTTTCTTATACTCAGGCACAATGGGAAAGTGTGTGTGACAAATGAGTTGGAATTTTGAAGCTTTATCTGATGGAGTGCAGTTCAAAAGCATTACTGAGATTAGACATCCCAGTCGACAAACCCATGTACATTTTTCTGTCTTTTTGAATATTTAAGGCCAGGACGTTAGTCAGTTGTTCACTGTACACTGTTCCAGTATGTTGAATGGACTTAATCTCAGCATATAAAAGGGCGGCACATCTGCAACAGTTGTCCCTTAAGTTGAATTACCTTTCATTTTAGATCCCCACTAAAAATGAACGCGGACGTGTTACAGTTGGTGATGAAAACGCTCTAAAGCTAAAATCTTAAATTCTTTTTTAAGGTTTGACGGATGAGGGTTCGTCACAAAAGGAAGAAAACTCCTGCTGATGTTTTATATCTGCTGTCAGTGGCAAAGTACCCGATGTGATGTCACTGATTGGGGTGTGGTCAGAGGTGACGTTGGCTGAACGTTTCAACCCCCAGAGAGCAGCGCTGCAGCAGGTTTCTGCTGTACTGTTTATGCAGTTTAATGTAGTTTCACTACTTAAGGGCCAGCCTATATACCAAAAGTAGTTTAACTTTAACTTGTGGTTGCTGATATTTTGCAGTGATATTCTTTGTTAATATATGCTATACAAAGAACTTTGTGTATTGTGTACTGTAGTCTTTATATTTGCACCCTCACAAATCTCCTAAACAGCATTTAAAGGAATAGTTCTGCATTTTGGGAAATACACTTATTTACTTTACTTAGAGTTAGTTGAAAAATCAATACCACTCTCATGTCTGACCGTTAGCTTAGCTTAGCATAAAGACTGTAAACAAGGGAAAACAGGGAGTCCCCACTGGTTGCCTGGCAACCTCGAGGTTGCATCCTCATAAAATATGTATACACCATTTCTGTAAGGATTAAACAAATGAGATGTGAGATGCTAATGAGTGAGCTTTGTTGCCGTTCGGAGTAAACCTTACTGTTTCTCAGCGCTTCCAACTACGGCAAACTAACTATCTGCTATCTTTAGCCTGACCCTGAGCTTTACTTTAGCCACAGTAAAATGCAAAGTGATTCAGCAACACACTGTGTTAAGTACGTGCACATACCAGTTAGAATAGTGTGTAGTGCGTCCCTTAGTATTGTGCTGATATACTGTTTAGGAGAAAACGATTACTGCTGTGATGAGCTTTTCCCAGAATTGCACACACGATGTTTGACTACCTGTAGAAACGTAACCCTTTGGGTAGTTTTGCAAAATACTCCGATGGTCTGAAAGCAGCCTGAACCCAACAGAAGCCTGGAAAGGTTTTGATATCTGACTTTTAATCAGGCTATCACACACAACACTTTTGAGTTAAATTTTCTTCTTATAAGCTTATTTGTGAATTCTTCCCAGAAGTTGATATTAGTCAATGTATTAGTCTAACTTCATGGTAGGGGTCACTCCTTTGAAAGGATCTAGCCCTGAACTACTTTGTGAAATGGGTTGTTAAACTATGTGTGGCCATGGTTTGAATGCTATTTCAGAGACTATTTACGTGCCAACAAAAATTCTGGGAAGGTTTTTTAATGTTTCACAATCATATCATCATAGTTAGTCAAACAATAGCAGTACAAAGTGCCAGATATTTTTAATTCTTTGTCTTCCCACTAGCTGCTACCATAGTTCACCCCTTTATTCTGCATTTGTCCTACATTAGTGCTAAATACAGTGGAAATAAAAGTGCCCCATTGTTGTACGAATGTACGGTTATCCTGGAGTTACAGTATTCCCAGAATTCTTGTGATGAGTCAGTGCCTGGCACCAGTGATCAGTTTGGCCTGTTGATCTAATTCAAATGTAACTGTTTCCTCCATCGCCCAGTTCCAGGGTTCTCCTCCCATCTACATTTTTGTGTGTGTGTGTGTGTGTGTGTGTGTGTGTGTGTGTGTGTGTGTGTGTGTGTGTGTGTGTGTGTGTGGTATTGGCACTGACCTTGCCCCATATGACTTCTCGTCCTTCTCGCATAATTTGAGATTTGTCTTAATGTGTGAAAGAATGATATTTCACCACAGCTACATTTGAGGTTACATTACATTACAGTTACTTTACAGCCTCTAACCCAGCCACCATTTTTAAAACGAAACTGTAGATAACCTGTCACTCTGTTGTTCCTAGTACTCTTCCACCAAATTTCATTGGTAATTTCTTGGAAATGTTTTCTGGCAATTACCCTGCTGACAGAGGAACTAGCAGTGATGTATCAGAGGTAAATATTGAGTTAGTTTCAGCGATGCTTCGCTGGCAGAAGGGAGTTGATGGAGCTGAATGCTTGTGTTTACAACACGCATACATCTGTCTCCCTGCACCAACACTCACCCAGTATGCACACACAGAGATGAAGTCACGCCACATTTCCCAGTACCACACAGAGGCATCTGTTTCTGTAAGTGCCTTCAAACCTCTGTTGCCTGCATTGCGAGCCACATTCCCTGATGGCGATGATGCTCCACCTGCAGCCCTGTTAGGCCTCAGTTTGGTGTCACGGTGGCAGCACGCAGAGATGCCTAAACGCTTCCTCTGTTATTAAAGGCCAGCTGGCTTTTTGTTAATACAACTCCCATACACAGAAAGAGGCTCTGTTTATGTGTGTGAGAGAAAGAGAGGTGGTGTGAAAGCAAGTGTTTGTGTGTCTAAAAGAGGGCCCTCGGGGGCACTAATCCGCCCCCTGACAAGGCGTTAGGCGAGAGCAATGTGGAATTATCCTCCATGGAAATGAAAGGTGTGATTTCAGCCTGGTAACCCATGCCAGAGGAAAGCTCCGTCCTCTTACACACTTAACCTTTGACACCACAGAGGTGGCAGTATTAACTGTTGAGTGCTCTTTCACAGCAGAAATGTGGTATAGTGGTGAATTAAAAAGATAGATAGATCATTTACATCTAAATATTGATCATATATGGCAATCAATCACAGTGATAGATCAAAATGATTTAGGTGGGTCATTCCTACTTCATACAGTCCTTCATTAAGAAATAGTTTATGTCACTGAAAACAACACATTCCTGAAGAGAGAAGCCTACTGTATCTGCATGCCATATGTACGTTGAAAGAGTTATTGACAACATTTCATGGCTCTATAGATGGCGATAAGAGAGACAGATGCAACAAAGGTCGGACTCAAAACAGGGACATTGCGATTCACAAAATTTTAACCCCTAAGCCACAGGGGCATCCCAAACCCACATGTTTTGAATGCAGCACATCAGTTAAACCATCCAATTTATATCTTGTTTTTAATGTCAGTGGTTCCCGCTGACCACTGTGGGTTACAGTTCTGAGTATCTTCTTTTGACGAGGACAGAAACATTAAAGGTGCCCTGTGGAGTTTTCTTGTAAATTAATATAAGTTATGTTACTCACCAAATCACATTGTTTCTCCATCAGATCTAACAAAATCATCATTTTCCCCCCTCATAAGAGTTTGAATCCTGCATTGTTTATATCCGTGTTTACAGTATTAGGGCTGTGTATTGGCAGGAATCACGATACACAATACAATACAGATCACAATATAGGGTTTAAAATTTGTTTTTTTAAGCAAGGTGATATATTTGATTTTTTATCTAATTTCAGGAAAACTGTCATAGTAAAAGAACACACACTATATGCATACAATCTGAGTTTAAAAAGTTAACTTTTTTTTATGCAACCAGAACAGTGGGGTCTGCCTTTGTACAGTGCTATCTATCGTGTTTTTAAATCTGATTCACCCAAATCTTTGCCAAAAAACCAAATAGGTATGCTTTATGGAATGAAAATGAAAGAAAGTGTTGTTTTCCCAGAGTAAACAGAGCTGAAACCTGCTCTTCAATTAAACACATGTAGTACACTGTCAGGGAGGGAGGGCAAGCAGAAAAGGCCCTCTTTGCAACAGGAGTGACAGGGTTTATGGGAAATGTGGTCTTAATTTTGACAGCATGACAGAGCAGCAATCCTCTTTATTATGGCCTCATTTGTTTCCAGTAATTACAGTATATCCCAACTAATATGACAAGTCTCCACAAACAGCAGCTTGATTAACAGCTTAATAACTGATCACAGATCAGCTGTCTGTGGCTGTCAGAAAGCCTTTCATGAGTTTGTTTCTCCAGGTAAGCTGAAAAACACAAAAGTCTCATCTGTCCCTTTAACCAA